TTGTCCTTACAAGACGGGGTAAACTGTGACAAATCAGCCGGCCCATCCTTCACATGGCTGTAAGGGGAGATGACCCTGGGGACTGTGGCCGCTACACGTTCATTGCTAGCAAAACTGACTACATCACCTGTCACATGGAGGCTAATAACGATAACTATGACAATGATCACTTGCTAGGCAAGCTGACTTAAGTGCAAGAAATATTTCATAATGAAATGTTAATGTTATATAAGCCAACAATATAAAAATATATTTTATAAAAGTAAGATACATATTTGAATCAATGAATTCAAATGTAGAAAATTTAAGCTTCAGAAGTTGAGAATTCCAAGCACCGAATATCAGCAGTTTCAGTGCTCTGAATGTTGTGCGCGAATGGTTGAGCTCTTAGTCATAAAGAGCTTAAAACATCATCATAACGCAATAAACATCATAACGAGACAAACATCATCAGACAACCAACATCATAACGCAATAAACATCATCATAACGAGACTACCAACATCATAACGCAATAAACATCATCATAACGAAACAACCAACATCATAACGAAATAAACATCATCATAACGAGACAGCTACCAACATAATGTTTGATGATTCCATCTGTTCGGACGTAATGACGATGTGGTGACGAGAGAGAAAAGGATGTTAATAAAGTTAAACGTCAAAGCTCGCAATTCAATAGAGTTTATTTAAACTTTTTAAAACTGATTTTCAGCAGTTATTTCACATTTTTTTTAAAACATGCAATAAAAGTATAATAAAAATAATCATCTTGGCACGTGTAAACTGATATTGTAATAATTGTATTCAGTGTTTCTTCCAGACTTTTTTCTCCGGGGGGGCACTTGAAATCTTCGGGGGGCGGTAAACTTTCTTCGGGGGGGGGGGCGGACACTGTTAAAAGTATATATTTTCTATATAAATTATATAAATTTCATTTCGTTCGGGGGGGGGGGGCGGTAAAATTTTTTCGGGGAAGAGATGCCTGGAAGAAACTCTGATTGTATTGTCTAATATTTCTTTTTTTGGTGCGACGGTAGATAGAGGGAAGAGTTTGATCATTTTATACCGAGTGACGTCATTTATGGACACTGATTATACTTATTAGTGACTAAATAGTTTTGATATGTAAATTTAAGCAATGGTTAAGCTTTCCGAATTCGGACGAGACTCTTGAATGACGTCACCGTGCACTTTGAAGTGCCTAACAATCTCACACACCACGCGTCAACCAGGCGCCGTAATTTGAACACAACTCGTATCTAGTTATCTCCCCTCCTCTCGGTTGCTATTGCTACAACTAGGTGTTTAGATACCATCTCCCACAAGATCTCGACCAATCCGAACCTTCGTTTTAAGACATCCATTATTATCTTTGGCTACCTTTTTATTTTCGTGTGTGGGCATATTTGTGTGTGTATGTGGGAGGGGGAGGGAGACACAAAACTTTTGACTCTAACCTTCACACTAGTTCTTGCGCTAACGTGACACTAACCAAAAGCTATTCTCTAGCATGTATTTTACTCTTTGCATGATTAAAGTGACATTAGTGTTATTACTGAAGTATAGAACAATATAGTCTAAGGATTGTATAGAATGATATTTTGTAACGAATGTTATTGGTTTTTGCTCTACCCCCTTCCCTCCCCCGAAAAACGTCCCACGCCTCCGACCCCCCCCCCCCCCCCCCCCCCCGACACCGAACAAAATAAAATTTATACAGAAAATATTTACTTTTTTACTTTTACCAATGTCTTCCCCCCCCCCCCCCGGAGAAAAATGTCTGAAAGAAACACTCTTTTTAAGACAGTTTCGGTTATGTGTCCATGTGAACAGCATCCATTCCACGGTCTAAAGTTGTGTGAATATCCAATGTTATAGCTCCGTTTGTACATTTTACAATGTGAATGTTCTACAACGTGAATGTTCTACAATGTGAATGTTCTATAAAGTGAATGCTCTACAATATAAATGTTCTACAATGTGAATGTTCTACAATGCATGTTGGCCCCACTAGAGGCTGCAGTAGCTTCCCACCTTACTAGGCAGACAAAAGAAGAAAAAAACAGAGTGTTAAGGAAAGGGAGGGACGGTTCGCGCACATTCATTACCCAGCATTTCAGATAATAGCCATTTTATTGTGGAAAAATTATGCTAATATGATTTTCCAGATAGAGCAAATCCCCCATTTCTATGGAGCTTTAAGAGAAGCAATTTCGTGGGGCCTTTTCAAGTCAGCTCATGTTCTCGCCACTGTGGTGGCTGTTTGTTATTTCCTCCAATCACATGCGTGCTTCTGGTGCTGTGCGGGGTAGGTGAGAGAGGTGGGAGTTGTGAGTGGGGCAAATAGAAAGCAATAGATTCAATTCAAATGCAAATCTTTTCCTTTGTCTGACCAACCTAGGATCATTGGATCTGAGCGCAGTGGATTCCACAGACTCGAGCAAAAAGTTTAGCTCGATCAACCTTCACAAAAAGATGAAATGGTGACATAAGAATATGCTGAATTGACTAGAATGTTTAACTAGCAATTAAAAGAGGGTAGATGTGTTGGTGTGTTGGGGAGAGGTGGGTGCGGAGATTTGTCACTTGTGTCTTCCGGTAATGATAGGGGAAGTCACCATTGAAAGTTTTTCTTACACGACTCGTGGGAAGGTAGGTGTAACACGGCGATTACACTTAATACATGAATACTAAACCCGCAACAAATTAGTTTTACATGGAAACATGTAGATCTATACTTACCTATTCCGGTGTTGTTGTTTTTCGTAAGTGTAAACATATGCAGGGACACCTACTTAGACAACTCTGTCGTTGATATGCCTGTAGATAGTAATGAAAAACATTAAAGTGAAATTACGTAGCAGTATAAAAATCATATATATATATATATATATATATATATATATATATATATATATATATATATATATATATATATATATATATATATATATATGGGCAGTGGCGTAGCGAGGTCGGGTGTCACCCGGTGCGGCACTTAATGGTGTCACCCCCCCCCCCCCCAGAGGCATAGAGACCCTTCCCAGGGACAAACTTTCAAACTTTCGATTTGCACCCCCCCCCCTCTAGAGTTTTTCTCTATATATTTTGCTATTTTTTGCCTTGGTGTCACCCCCCTAAATGGTGTCACCCGGTGCGGTCCGCACCCCCCGCCCCCCCCCTCGCTACGCCCCTGTATATGGGCCAATTGAAAAGTTTCCTTGAGCCAATGCATAGAGAGAATAATCCAGGGGCAATCTCTACTGTTGCTGTGTGACAAACTCAGAGTGTATTGTGACTGATGTAAGTTAACTATAAATCTCTTTCCAAAATAGACGCATTTACCCAGCTAATGAAATTTCCGAAACGGTATTACCCGACGGTTTCGATGAAGAAAATCCATTCTGAGAAGAGCTGACAGAATTACTACCCTAGATAGATGCTACACAGCAGCCCATCGCGGGTGTAAATGTCAGGTGTTCCCATTGCGACCTCCTCTTTTCTTGCTATCATACATTTCCCCAGTTGCCTTGGAAATGCCGGAGAAGCTCTGTTATTTGTAGAACTGATAAGCAATCGTTTAAAATTTGGTTTTATTTCTGCTAGTAAAGATAGTCTGATATGTGCCAGTAGGCCTATATGGTGATATGGGGGGAGGGGGTTGAATGAAAAGGTGCTCGCGTGTGGTGAGTGGCGTGAGGTGATTGGGGGGGGGGGTGATTTGTGGTATACAAACAAGTGCTAGGGTACAGTGATGAAGGTCAAGGATTCTACCCCTGCCAATTACCCGACCTCCGCCCCGCCCACCCGTTAATTATCCCGTCCTTCCAAACTGGAGTGGGACATTACCACCACCCCTTGTATTAATACTTTATTATGAGTTGTAGGCCTAACTACGTTTGTTGAATGATGTAGAGTAGGGCTTGCGAGCACATACTGTACCGATGGTAGTCTCCACTAGTGAAGGGGTCACTGTGGCGAGCGGCCAATGAGCAGAAACTCCTTACAGCTAGCCTTCTTTTGGGGCTTGGATTTGATGCCGTGTCCATTTACCTTACAAAGAACGTTGAACCATTGACTAGCGTCACGTGACCGTCGTATCTGCCATCTCACGCTTCCAATTTGAAACAGCCGAATAGAAATTGTTTACCTCACACCAACAACAGAGCTCAAGGTTGGCAAAGAATGCAAAACGCTTTAGCTGAAAAGTATAGGGCGCTTATATATAAACATAATATGTATAATGTAAAGGATAGTGAAATCAACTAGACTATAAGTTAACATTAAACGTAATAGCTATAGCAGGTACGAGCTGTTTTTTTTCCCTTATACACCCCCCTTTCAATGGAATACCTCTACATCAATGTATGGTAGACTTATTAGGGACCTACCTGTTAAACAGTAATTATCGCATGCCAGCATAAGTTTCACTGATGTCGGTTTGTTATATCTACATTTGATGAGTGACTGTTGTTTAATAGGAAAAACTGAAAATAAATCTGACAATGTAAGAAAAGTAACCCATTTAATAACTTGGTAATGTTTATTTTTAAAAAAGTTATGGCCCAACCCAAAGTAAGATTAAGATTGAATTGTTAATACTATTAATAGTTTGCTTTAAAAAAATGTGTATGGCAATCCTTTTCGCATTGTTAAGTCAAAATTTTATTTATACGAAAAACCAATAAGTAAATAAAAAGCAATACAAATAAAATACACTACCTTTTAATTTTTTGCATAATCTTTTTTCACTTTATTATATTAATAGTTTTCTATTTAATGTGTGTGCAAGTTTCCAAAAGTCTTCATCATGGAAAAAATCATTATTTTTGTAAATTTTTAATTTCATTAATGCTTTTAGGTCTTTAAAAAATGCAACTAAATTCTTGTTTTATCAACGAAAATAAAATAAACACTGAAATAAAACTAAGGAAGATTTTTAACTCACATAAAAAAAAAAAAAAAAAAATAACCAAACAAAACAAAAAAAATTCAATTAACCATTTTTAATGCTATATCCTCAGCACAGAAAAGTTAAAATTATAGTATACAAATAAAAATGTGAATTTAACAAAAAAATCTATGTTTAAACTGTCCATTCTCAACTGATTTTATTGCAATCTGTTTATTGATGAAGGCATGTTTCAATGTTTACACAACTCAAGACATGCCTTAATACTCCATCTAGAGAATCAAAACTGATGGACAAACAGAACAGGAGAAGAAAAGTACTCGAACTAGTGTGGGCATTACAGAATTTAGCCTGATCCTAAAGTATGGGCATTACAGAATTTAGCCTGATCCTAAAGTATGGGCATTACAGAATTTAGCCTGATCCTAAAGTATGGGCATTACAGAATTTAGCCTGATCCTAAAGTATGGGCATTACAGAATTTAGCCTGATCCTAAAGTGTGGGCATTTCAGAATTTAGCCGGATCCTAAAGTATGGGCATTACAGAATTTAGCCTGATCCTAAAGTGTGGGCATTACAGAATTTAGCCGGATCCTAAAGTATGGGCATTACAGAATTTAGCCTGATCCTAAAGTGTGGGCATTTCAGAATTTAGCCTGATCCTAAAGTGTGGGCATTACAGAATTTAGCCTGATCCAAAAGTATGGGCACAAGAATAAAGCATACATCACAGTATTTAACCAGTAACATACTTATGTGAGAAAGTACAAAATTTAGCTTGAAGCTTACAGTTTGTTTCAATTATCAGCAAAAAATTCACAAATTTATTATAGAATCTATTACCTAGCTTATGCAAATAATAATTAAACTATGTAATACAATGTTTTTAATTTGTTGCACCTACAAGTATTTTTGACATTGTTAGAGTTATTTATATAACAGTCTATTACTTATTTTAGAATGGTTACAAAAATGATGGGTAGAAAATTGTTATCATTTAGCAATATACTAGCAATCATTCTAGGCACTATGTGTTAATTTAAAAGAAGTAAACATTAATTATTTCTCTTTCCTAGGCAGCTTGTAGTTTATTATTTCAGTATACTTAAAAAAATCATGTGTTCAATCAGTTCAATGCCAACAATTTTTAAGCTGAAACATTGGTTTCAATTTAATTCTTATATTTTGGATACTTTTATAGGATAAGAAATATGAAAAATGATTACAAAATGAACACAAAACACAAGATATCTATGGTGTACATTGATAAGCACTGAAATACCAAAATAAACTGAAGAACTAAAACTGGTTGACATACATTGTAATTACATGTTTTTAAAAGCTAGTACAGGAAAAATAGAAGAAATTTTTTTTAAAAGTATTTATTTACATATGAGATGAGTTTTTTTTTATCTGGGTTTTTTCACACAGGCCAACTGTATAAAAACTTGAAATCACCAACCTTTATCAAGTGTTAATTATGTACACCTCTAGTCTTTATATATCAAAACACATAGTCAACTTTGAAAGAAAATCAAACTGGGGGTAACCTGAGAGTTTACAACTGACAAGGCCAGTGAGTAATTAAACATAAGCTATTTATGTAGGTTGCTTACTCAAGTCCTACTAGACAATTTCTAATGAGTTTTTTCTTCAGCTCTGACTAGAAAATTGTCCAGTTTGTACAATAACAGCTCACTGGGTCATATAGTATCAACTGTGTTGCTCAGTTATAAAGATAGCTTAAGAAACAGTTTTTACTCGCTGTATTAGCTAAAAAGAAAAGTGGAATAAGAATAGCTTATCATCTTTTTTCAAATTCAATTTTTTTTTTCAGCTAGATGATTAATTTTATTTTATTTCTAACATCACCCTAACGATTGTATGCAACAGTATTTCAAGTGTAATAATTTGGACTTCAGCAAGCTTATTTACAACATTATCATAAGGCCATTGCTTTAAAGAAAAAAAAAGAATGAACAATATAGTCAGCCAATGCAATGCTCATGGTTCTGACAGTGTAGGTCTGCCCCACTGTTTATAAACATGATAGTATCAAGCACATTTGTAAACATTCATAGTTAATAATCAGTTTTGGTGATGTTTATTTATATATTTACTTTACAATTTTTTCAAAGTTTTGTAAGTTTGAAAAGATAAAGTACTAGAAAAAGACCTAAATAAGGTCTTATTACAACACAAATAGTATATCATGCCTAGAATCATAAATGTATAAATTTTCTCTCCTTGGGATTTATGGTAACTGATGGTGATAAGTAAACCATAAAGCCAATACACATCTTAGGTTAAAAAAAACTAACATGATATCAGCCCATGATGAGGTGTATTATGTGCACCAACAAAAACTTCATTTAGACAAAAATCCTTTCAGATATTTTAGACAAATCAACATAAGTATTTATTTAAGTTATAACCTTCAAAGCGCAATTAATCTTTACATGCACTTAATGGAATTTACTCAATTTTTTTTTACAAACAATGAAAACACATGAGAAAAATGTACATTCATATTGTATCTTAACAATTCTTATGTTGGGGATAAATTTGCAACGAATTATAATGACCTTGAATTATACAGAATTGGGGATTTACTAATTCAAAATATAAAACTATACAGATATTTATTAAAATTAACTTGTTACTGGTAACAAGTTAGCTAAACTGATTTCGTATCTATGAAAACTAGCTAAATCTTTTTTGAATCCCTCTTTAAGCATTGTGAATAATTTCTTTAAAAATTACCTACTGTTAATCATATATCAGTGAACAAATTTAAACTGATCATAGCTGTTCAAAAACTAATATTAAATACAGAAATGTGTTTAAAATTAGAATTTTTAAAAACTTTACAATATTTAAATAATTTCTTTTTGATTAAAACATCTTTTTCAATGTCAGAAAATAATTGAGTTGTGTCAGTTAAATAAAGACAAAATTAAATAGATCAGTATTATATGTACAACAGCTTTAACAACAAACTAGAAAATAATGGGATTAGAAATATTCATCCTCAAAACATTGAATAATTTTGAATCTATATTTTATCATTTCTTATGATTTGAGGTTTATCTTTTCTTATATAACTATTCCAAGGTGTAGACATTTTATGTTAAGAGCACCTTTAGGAGATTATAGATTGTCTTTTTTGGAATCACAATAACAAAAAAAGCGTGATTTAACAAAAACAAAACAAGTACTGCACATTAATTTTTTTGCCACTAGGGATGTACTTGAAAAGCTTTCTATAATGAGATTCTTAATTTCATAAACAACTGGTAGTAATCCATTTCAATTTTAAAATTTCATCTGAAGCTTACACATTCAAGGACTAAAAACCTAGCTCTTGAAATAACACAACCATCATAGAATATTTTTTAATAAAAATCAATCGGTACAATGTGTGCACAATTGACTACCGTATTTAAAGCTAGTGCAGTTATGCTGTAACATAAACAACCTTTTCCATTTTTACAACAGCAAATCAATATGCTCATTTGAAATGTCCCTTAACACATTTTAAAATTTGATTAAAAAGCTATTTCAGCTAAAACTATTTTTTAAAATATGTACATACACATATTTAGAGAAATCCATACCTTAAAAGTCAATGTGGATTTTATGGGGTAAATAAAATATTTTTAAAAACTCAGTATTTCTGAAAAAAGTTATAGCTGTGCAAAGATACAAATTAACAAGAGTGCTAAGGAAAAAAATGTGCTCCCCTACCTCCCCTCCCAAAAAAGCTAAATAAAACTATTTACAGAGGCTGCTAATAAATGGAGTAGGAATGAAAAATGAATGTGTGTGTGTGGACAGTGATAGGCAGAACTTGGTCTTTGGCATCAAAGAACTTTTTAACAGCCTTTCCATGTTTTTACCTCATTCCTATAAATAAAATATAAATAACAATTACAGTATATTAAAATTGGTGGTAAAATAATGAGTACTAATGATAATGATGTTATGAAAACTAAGATACAATATGATGGTTTTGCAATAATTAGGAACAGGAATAATATAATTTATTATTTTATTGTCATTTACATTTTTAAACTGAGTGCAAATTTTTAAAATGACCCTTTACAATTAAGAATAGAAAGCACTTTAAGGTTAAATGTTAAAATCTGGAATTTTTTTTCCCTTTGATCAGGTAAATGAAAGCAAAATATTTAATAGAATCAGTGCATATTTCTAATGTTTTTTTTTGTTACTGTGCTAATACTTTTGCTGTTATACATAGTATATAAGTATAAGAAGTAAAAATAACTCAAGTACAACATTTTCTTACAAATTAAAAATAAAAAGTTATTTAAAAATAAAAAAAAACTTTAATATTGTTTTTTTTTTTTAAAATGATCTTTCAAAAGCAATATAAAATACAGAAATACAAAAATCACAAACCTGCTTGGCTATGGTTTTAAAAAGAGAATTTTTTTTTAGGTATTGTGTTTTGAAAAAAATAAAGTTTAAAACTATATGTGCAAGCAACAAAAAAAACTGAGAATAATCACAGTGAATTTACAACACTAATTTTTTATCCAATAGAAGATATTTAGTAAATGAAAATTACTAACTATTGTATGTGAAATATATTAGCATGTACCCCACAAATCTTTAAACCATACTAAATTACCCAGAAGTGACAAGGTTTGATTTTGATTCTTTTAAAACACTTTAAAATATGAACAGTCTTTTTGACTAAACTTTTATTTCAAATTAAATCTTCAATTACATGCAATATTTTGAGAAAATATCTGTATATATAATTCTCTTCTTGGAGATGATAGAAAACACCAAGCTGTCAGCGCGCTCCCTACCACCCCCACATGATCTGGTGATCTGTGGTTCACGCTAAATGTTTACAATCGTAGAGCCGGGTTTAGTGACGGCTATTAGGGGCAGATAATTTAGTTTGAAACTATTTTAAACTTAGGGGAGGTAGCTAAGAGGAGTTTACTTTCACGGGGGGGGGGGGGGTTATCGTCCTTAACAAGCTACTGATAGTGTTTTAAAGCAAATATTTTCAGTGGCAAGAAAATAAAACAACTAAATAGCGGTGTATGATACGCCGGGGGTCGGCTCATATTTTTTATATTTTAAAAAATACTATTACCATTACTTGCACAAGAACAATTAACATGTAATTACTGAATGTACTGTTTTTATTGATTGATCATAACTCAATAATGTAGAACCAAGCCAATGAAGTCATAATAAATTAGTTATTAAAACTATAAACTCAAAATTGTCCATCCAGTTCATCAATTGCTCATTATCAACAGACTTGTTATCATATAACCAAACTATTTTATTCAAGTTTCTGCTAAAACTGAATGACGTAGTGGGTAGTTTTACATTTTTTTTTAAAAACATAAGATAAATAAACTGATAGTTAGTGAAGAAAATAGAGAGCATCACCTGTCTGGCTGTATCAGTAGACACTGTACTCAGTCATAAAAGAAAGTCCATTACATGCATTGTTAAGAGGATATCTAATCCAAATTAATAGAATTTCTGAATAATGTCAAATCAGTGGAAGAGTGGAGCTTTTCTTATGTTCAAATATGTTAGATAAAATTAGGTTTTCAATTTTCTGTTTAAACAAATAGCATCTTTGTGTATTATCATACTAACATTCTGGAAATGCCATTTTCATTTTTTTATTTCAAACCTTGTACTTCTTAGTTTGAAAGATGATCTCCCAAAATGAAAAACCATTTACTATTCTGGACACAAAATAATAATACAACAAAGTCATCATTTAATAAAATAATTAAACAAGAACTTCCCAAAAGATCTTTTGTCAAATGAAGTAAAACTGTAGCAATGTACTGTTGTATGGTTGAAATGGAAGGAGGAGAGTTTTCTGGGGTTTTTTCAAACAAATATGAACAGTTTGTGAAAAACTGCAGTGTATAGAAATTTATGACTACAAACAATAGTCTAATTCCCCAAATAACTAGCATATGCTTGATAAAACTGAAAACCTAAAAATAATTTCATAACATACTAGGTTTACTATTTCTAAAGAAATGGAAAAATTATACAAAATAGTGTTAAGAGATTGAACTGAATTTTGCTAGCACAATTATGAGTGAAAGGGAGAGTGTCTACTGGTTCATGGGTGTAAACTTGTATGAAAATAAGATAAAAGAACTCATAAAATGTCTAATAACAAAGAAAGCATCGCTATGTAAGAGATCATCAATCAACCTACAACATAATTACACCATAAGCACACAAACTATATTCAATATTGAAGACCTGATGAGTTGTATGGTACATGCGAAGATATTTCTACATACGTGACTCTTATTGTTGTTTACCATTAGCAGCAGCCAAAGAGGACACAGCAAGGCCAGAAGCTGAAGATGCCGCAGCCTTCTGCTTGAGCATTGTCCAATCAAACACATAGTCATACTGGTGATTTAAAGTGCGGAACAGGATTCTAAACAGTTGCCTTAGGTACATGTAATCTGGTGCCTCCTCAAATCTTAAACCTCGGCAGTAGTTTAGGTACATGGCAAACTCTGCAGGAAACCCCTGGAATAAATAAATTAAATAGAGTTACAAAATATTTTTAAAGCTGGCCCAAACTCGGTTAGTTATTTGGTGTTATCTTTAATGACTAATACATTTTTCGAAGTGTCTACTCGGAAGAAGATTTTTCTCCCCAACGTCTCCACTTAGTCGGCAAAAGATAGCTCTGCGCATGCGCAGTGACCTATGGCTAGGGTTAGGGCTAGAATGAGGGTTAAGGGTAGGATTAGGGATAGGGTTAGGGATAGGATTAGGGATAGGATTAGGACTAGGGTTAGGATTAGGGCTATGGTTAGGGATAGGATTAGGGCTAGGGTTAGGATTAGGGTTGGTGTTAGAGTTCTGCGGTTGTAAACACACGCATGCGCAGTACCATCGAAAACATCGCCGCGAAGTTAAGTCGTAGTTTCTCATCATTGCGCATGCGCATCACATGCGTATCTTATTCCGACTAGAATCGGCCTACATTTTTTGCAAAAGATGTAGCTTGAATTTGAATATTTGTGTAAAAAAATTAACTTATTTTATTTTTTTACATTTTCATTGTATTTAACATTTCTATTGTAATTAAACAATATTTCCCCTGTATTAAAGATCATTTCCATTGCAATAAATAACATTTTTACTGTATTAAACATCTTTCCACAGTATTAAACGTTTCCATTGTATTTAACGTTTCTATTGTAATAAATAGCATTCCTATTGTATTAAACAATATTTCCACTGCGGTATTAAACGTTTTCACTGAATCAAACACTTCAGCCATTTTAGTTTGAAGGTTAATAAAATATTTTTTATTGGAATATAATACATACTTTACAAAGGACCTCCACTGGTGTTGACATTTTCTTTTCACTAATTCGCTCATACTTTTGTTTTTTTGTTGCTGCCTAAAATAGATATGTTCAGCATTTTTTATTATCAATTATTGAAATTTACAAAAAAATGTGCAGATTTAGACATAAAGTATGCAAAACAGACAAAACCAGTTCTTGTGAACTAGCTTATGGTTTAATTTAGTGAATTGTCTGTAAATAACTAGCAAACATTTATAAGCACATTACAATTTCTCTAACTGTAATTTCTAATCTATTATGACTTATTAATAGTAATCCTACCATAGGTTGTATTTTTAGCTCTACCTTAAGTCCCTGCCAAGGTAGTGATCCTCTGTTGAAGTACATAAGAACATAACCTAAGGATTCCATGTCATCCCTCCGACTCTGCTCAATACCCAAATGAGCATTGATACTGGCATAACGTGCTGTGCCTGTCAAGTTCTTGTCTTCTCTGTATGGGATATGCTGGCGTGTTCTGTTGTCACGATATTTCTTAGCAAGACCAAAATCAATAATAAACACCTGTAAAGATAAAGCAAATTGCTTACAAGGAGCTGATATTCTTTATATAATGTTAAAACAAATGAATTTTAATGAAACTCAGTGTCAACTTAAGTTTACACACCTACAGCTTTTAATCTTTGCTATCTTCTCAATGACTATAAATTTAAAAACTATTCCTAACGTAAAATAATTTTAGGCCAGAAACCAATTGAGTGCACTCAACAACTTCCCAAAGTTTCATGGCAATCGGATGAATGATGTAGTTAAGGAGAGACAGACAGACAAATATACATTAATTTATACATACATATATATATAGAGAGAGAGAGTGAGAGATAGATATACAAACAACTAATTTTAGTAGTATATAAAGTTATGAATAGTTACTGACCTTGTTACAATGTCTGCCAATACCCATTAGGAAGTTGTCAGGTTTAATATCACGATGAATAAAGTTTTTGTTGTGCGTGTACTCTATTCGGTTGATCATCTGTTTTAAATACACAATTTAATTCACATAACTTAGACCATTAAAAAAAATAACATTATTGCATTTAAACATATTCTAGCTAGCTACAATCATATTTTTACCTGATCAGCCAACATTAGGACTGTCTTCATTGTAAACTTGCGACCACAAAAATTGAAGAGATCCTCCAAACTGGGTCCTAACAAGTCCATGACAAGAACATTGTAGTCCTTTTCTTGACCAAACCATCTGTCCAAATATAACCAACTTAATTTATAGTGGAAAATTTGATAGGATCAATCTTATAACTTAAATGTAAAAACATTCTTGAATGTAATAAAAGTAAAACTAAACTAAATTTTGCAGCAAAGCATGTACTTCAGCCTGGCACATTTCATTTAAATATTTGTATAGAATTTTAAGCATCAAACATTTTATAAAAATCTTAACTAACCTTATGTGTGGAATTCCAACCCCTCCTGATAACAGTTTGTAGAGTTTACTTTCATATAAAAGCTGAGGGTGTCTTGCTTTTGTTGACTCTAACTTTACAGCCACTTCCTGATTAAGTGAAAATTTAAACACAATTAAGAAAAATAAATATTTCTACAGAGACATTAGATATTAGTAATAAAACTGCTTTTGCTGTTTTTAAAAGTAAAAAATTAGAAGAAAGTCTGACTTAAACATGTAACACATCAAAGGTTGGACAGCTGTGACTTAGACATAAGTTTGTTGTAGGCCTATTACTACTATTAGTAGATTTCTAAGGAACTAAGCATTTAGCCCTAGTGCTCAAATTACTGACTAAAGCTTTTTCAATAAGTTGACTTGTAAACTAGGCCTACTAAATTAAGTTAGTAATATAGGGTAACGCAGGGTACTAAGTTCATAGCTTGAATGATTGGTTCTTGAGGTAACATGTGATTTCATTTTTATTTTTCCTAAATAAGCAATATCAAACGCAACATAAGTGTCATAAGCTTAGAAATGGTAGTGGGGATTAGGTAGGTTTAAAAATGGAGAGTAAATAAAAAATACTGGTAGATAAATTATAGGACTACAATACATGCCTTTCTTCATCTTAAAATCCACAATATTTTTGCTCTCACAAAAAATGTCTAAAATTACCAGTTTCCCACTGCCTTTCCACTTTATTTTGATCAAATACCCTGCGTTACCCTATATTACTAACTTAATTTAGTAGGCCTAGTTTAATTTTTTATTAGAACTAGACCTAGATTAATGATTAATGTGTAGATATTTCTTAAACTCGATATGTGTATAAAAATATTGTAACACATCTGTTTAAAGAAGGCGATTCAAAGCAGAGCATTTCAGTCAGACAGCGGTCGGCACTTCATGTTTTGATTTTCGGTCCACTTCAAATTCTATAGACGTCTCTATTTTAGGGCATTATAAATCATACATATTAATAAACATCCAGATTTCAGCAATACAGCGCAATGTTCAAATAAAAAAATTGATTGGTCTTTAACTAACCCGGGAAACTTAGTTCAACTTTGTTGTACGATATCTTCTAAAGTATTTAATACATTTTGATGATGAGCCGTGCGCCGTTTACGTCTATATCTAATTTTTATTTCTGCCAAGTTTCACTGTTGTAGTACAAAAACTCGAAGAGTCTATAGACTCAAAGTAACATCCCTGTTTTAAAAAAGGTGAAAATGCCCCCCCCCCCTCTAAATTGGCATAAAAAATGCGATTCAATAGGCAATGTTTGAAATCACGTTGAATCATATTTAAAAGGTTATTTAATTACAAACAGAATGATATATAACATGTTGATATAAACACAATAAAACCATGCAAAAAAATAAAGTTGAACAGGCAGAGAGTAAGAAAAAGCAGATTTGTCCAATTTTCTGGGCAGCGGCATTGGCTTAGCTAGTATTATTGCTAGTAAGGTGTATAGTGGGACAAGGGTTGGGGTTAGCATTGACATTAACAGGTCATAGAATCTATCTATATAGGCCTTATTCTATATGATTCTAGATCTATATGTGTATTTAGCTAACTACCCGGAAACAACACCCCTTCTGGGAAATTTTTATACCAGTGGCTGATAATGGAATCTTCTTTAAAAAAGGGGTGTTAGTGTTAGGTTACTGGTAGTTAACTAAACTAAATAAACACATGACTGGCTAATGTCAATGCTAACCCTGTCCCTAACCCTAACCCAAGTATAGGCATATTGGGAAATTTTTCCTAATTATCATAGAATGATAAAATGGACACAGATTAATCCTATAATATACCCCATTGATAAAAACACCAAATTTATCATTCTAGGCCTAATAGTTTTTTTATATGAATTTTCAAAGTTATGTGTTTAACTAGTTATGTTTTATTGTAAACTGCATTTGAGACTTGTGATTGGCTTTAAACTTGCATACCAATGTTGCTATTAAAGATATAATGATAAAACTTTGCACATTTGTACTCAATGATATAGGCAATAGAAGTCTACAAATAAAATAAAAATTAGAAAAGAGAAAACTAGAAATAATGGCACTGTTCTATAGTGACTGCCATAAGAGGATTTCCAGACTGCACAGCTAGGTTGCTATTCCATATACCATGATAAAACTTTAAATATTAGGACTAGAGAATGTAAAAAATACAAACATGCAAGTAAAATAAACATAGCTAGAGGAAAACTATAAATAGTGAACTTGAATATGTTACAGCGCAATTAGACTATGATGATTAACTACAGGCTAATATATTGTACTTCTTTGTTGCTACTATAAAAATAAAGATTAAACTTTACATATTGATTCTGGTGTTAGTAATAAGAATGCTAGTATACATATTGTACAGGTAATGTATAGAGTTAGAACTTACAAATACAGCACAATATGATCAAGATACTTAACGATTTGCCATAAACATTGGATTTGTGTCCGTGTATAACATGGTAAAAATGTTATTATTAATTTAGAAAATTTTGGTTCTTGTAATGTTTCTGATGAAAAGTGTTGAGATGTGCTAAAACTCAAAGATTGACATTTCACAGTATTCTTATTTATAAATATAAAATTATAAATTTATAAAATTTTTACTGAAGTTGACGTATCCTTTGATAAATTCTTAAAATGACATTAATTAAAGTGTTCATGTTTTCTTTCTATTATTATAGTTGCCTATAACTAAAACTGTAATGCAGTGCAGCTTATAAAATTGGGCATTATTATTTTTAATTTAGGCCCTTTATAGATCTAGATAGGCCTGTCAGTATTTACATTTAGGCCTAATAGTTTTTTTTTATATATTAATATTACACATCTCTGGACCCAATATTATTTTAGTGTTTTCATTTCCATTTAGATCTAGATTCTATTTTTTTTTAAACTGTTTGCAATAAATATAGATTTATTTCTTCTTGAAAATGCCTTTATAATCTATTTATCTGCAATTCGTTAATGCTATTGCTAGTAGATCTAGTTAACCTGGTATTAAGAAGGTTAATAAAAATCTGGCTAATTTAAAATTTTATAATTTAGGCAGCAATTAATTACATTCTTTCCATTTTTAATTTAATAATTTAGATATAGATCTACAGTATATTTTTTTAAAGGCCATTTTATTGTAACAGTCCATTTAAAAGCAGCTATTAAAAAGCATCGTATGCGCACATCTATTAATATCTCGTAACTCGGCTGCCATTATGAAATTAATCACGCTTTCTCATTCCTACCCTACGAGTTTTATCGCGCTACTCCTCATTGCCCCATGCTTAAAACCCTTAAAATCGACATTTATATTAATCAAAATGATTGGCATGCCATTTAGGCCTATTTTCATGCAATTTAGATGATTATATCTGAAATTTAGTTGTCAATGCGCCAGTTCGGTAGCGTCTGCATTTTGACAAATATTTGCTATTATCGTTAATCACTTTCGGTATCAGACAATGTAAAACGGGAGCTAATTCATTTATTAATATGTATAAAAGATGAAATTCAACTCAAATATTCATATCGAATAGCCTACATTTTATTCTTCGATTCTGATGGTGAGAATTAACATGTTAAAAAATGGCGAATTTCAACAAGTATGATGGAAAAGTCTGGATGTGGTCCTACCTAATCGAAACAGCAGAAGTCGAAATGCCTACCAAGTACTACCATACGCCTAACCCTAATTAAGGCTATTTCTAACCATAAAATTAGTCAATATAATACCACACAACTCAACAACACACCTAATGTGACCTATTCTATGGAAGAGTCTATTATCGGACATTGGTATCTAAAAAGATCCCTAGATTTTCTAGATCTACAATTTAGATCTAGATCTATATCTAGAATCTAGCTGTTTTGAAAATTTACCTCGCCATTTGAGATGTTAATGGCCAAATAGATGTCTCCAAAGGATCCACTGCCTATTTTGCGTACCAGACGATATTTCCCAGCGACGTTGAAATCCCCTTTCGTTGCTGCAGATGTGGTTGACATTTTGCCACCACTGAGAACCCTGTTCCACACAAAAACCAAATATACGTTATCTCTCCCCACCCATAACCGTTTATATATGTTTTTGTGGCCAAGTTACATCACAGGTAGTCTATATTTTATAAGAGATGTTGGTCACTTTTGTTTTGTTCCCTTTATAGTATCACGAAGATGACACAATAACACAAGTCGCACTGGATTTTGGGATTGACATGTGCCAGGTATATATAATGGTTTATAGGTTAAGTTGTAATTAATGTAAGGCAAAATATTGTTTATTTAAGATTTGGTAGAATTAAACACAGCATTAAATGTATTTTTGAATGTATTTGGTCTGAATATTTAAAGATAAAATGAATAACTCCATTTACTATTTTTACATTATTGACTATAATACAGTGATAGAACATTTTTTGAATAACTAATTCTTGGGTTGGCTTAGCGAAACGCGTATAGCAACAGGTTGTTTTGTAAACCGGTTCTTGTCCAGACACGCCTTTTGTCTGCCTATAGATTATAGATCTCATAGTTTATAAGTAGATCTAGTTTCAACCACAGTTTAGATTCTCACAGTTTATAGTGGATCTACCGTATAATATACACTACCTAAGGGGAAATCCACTAATGACGCCTACGTTTAGTAACGATATGTAACGATATCGGAAAGGCTGTCAGAAATTAATTAAAAGCGATTCTTAGGGGTCATCCATAAATGACGTCACGCTTTTTTTGACGATTTTTACCTCCCCCCCTCCCCTCCGTCACATTTCGTCACAAAAAGCCAGACCCCCCCCCCCCTAAAATGACGTCACACCTCAACCTACAACCCCCCCTCAAAATTGCAGTTGAATTTTTTTAAAACATTGATATTTTTCCAAAATCTTGTCTAAACTATTACAATTTATTAAAACAGTTATCTAAAACGCGAAATAACGTCTAAAATTCGTTTTCTAACATTGCTTTTTTATAATGCAAAAATGTGACGTCGCAACATCTGACCCCCCCCCCTCTCCCCCTCATCACACATCGTCACAAAATTACGGACCCCCCCTCCCCCCTACGAGTGTGACGTCATTTATGGATGACCCCTTACAGCGAAAGTTAGCGGTTATAATTTCGTATGTTTAATAGATATTTTTTTATATAAATCTGAACATTTATTACTATCTTTTATTTAGCCTGCTTTATATATCTGTCGTCCGTCATGGATCGAAACGGACGAGCAAAATTTCGATCACTTCAACCGGATCGATTTCTTTTAAACTTTGCATATGTGTCAAGACCCTACCACAATGCAGTGTGACAGATACTTTGACTTACTTGGATGCTTGATTATTTTTTTTTTAATAATTAAATTAGTTTCCTACTTAACGTACCAATTTTATCACGCTAATTACACGCACATTGTTTGCATTAATTTGGTGCGCAATTCTTTTTAGTCACACAATTCTAATAGTATTAAAATGGTAAAGAATAGAAAAATTTACTTAAAAAAAGTTTAAATAACAAGCTTTCCTATAATTATGCACTGAAAATAGAAAATTTTCTTTAATTATATAATAATGAACCAATATTTTAAAAAATAAAAAGAAAGCGTGGATCGCTATTCTTTTAATAAAGGTATGCAACGAGGGGGGGGGGGGGGTCGGACACTGGTAAAAGTATGTTTACTTTATAAATTCCCTTTTCGTTGGGGGGGGGGGCGGTATACTTTCAACCTGAAAAGATACCTGGAAGAAACTCGCTCGGGTATGCAATACATAATAGCATATACTGACCCGCGCTTTTTTTTCTTTTTTTTTTTTTTTTTTTTTTTTTTTGCTAGCAATTTAAATATTGGTTCATAGCTATTTAAAGTAAATAATTTGTTTTCTACTTTTAAGGGGAGAATTATATAAAAGTTTGTTATTAAAACGTTTTTAATTAATATATGTTTTTAAATTGTTATTAAAAATATTATAGAAAAAAATCGTTGTTTTTTTTTTAAATTCAATTTGGGTAAGTAGGCAGTAGCGTGATACTGTCCGTTATTTTTCGTAATTTTCTGCCTATCGCGATGGGGATTAGAAAATGTGTAAAAAAAAAAGCGTTACGTAATTATACATTGACGATCTTTAACTTTAATATCAATGAACTGTTAGATAGAGGGTCATTGTGATTCTAAAACAGCGTTAATTTCTTTTTGTCAAAATAACACAGCTAGATTTGGTGTGGTCAACAATTACATTTTTCTTCTACTTTAATATTTAGATCTATAATGTGATTGAAATATGTAGGCCCACCGAGATTTTCTCCATAGTGATATTTCAGAGGCGTATTGAGGGGGGGGGGGGTGGGGGAGGGCGGGGGGGGGTTACATATGTCCCCGAGCGCCGACTTTAGGGGGCGCCAGAATGGGTTGGAAAAACAAATTAAAATCTCATTTTTGCTGCATTTTTGCATTAAATATAAAAAATATATGAGGGGGGGGGGGGTGTGCAAATCGAAAGTTTGAGGGGGGTGCAAATCGAAAATTGAAAGGTTGATCCCGAGGGGGGGGGGGGGGGGGCGCCAAATTGAAAGTTTGTACCCGGGCGACGGGAAGGGTCGCTACGCCTCTGCGATGTTTTCCATAATTTTAAAAAGAAAGCACACACTGTCTGATTGTAGGGTTAGATAAGTCAGAGACTTATAACGATGGGATGGTGGTCTATGTAAGAAGTCTATAAGTATAAGGCTATAAGGTTTTTAATTTCTAGAGGGGAGGGTACTAATTAGTGTTTTTTCTTGGAACTTAGTTAGGCCCACAAATAATAAAGATTATATAACCATTATGGGCCAAAAGTAATGTTTGTTTTGTAATCGGATATATCTTAGAAAGGTTTGCCTATATTGATTACTCATTAAGACCATGTTTTTTCTTTCGATTAAAATTACAATAAAGATTGCTTCAAAATAAAAATAAAGTGTCTGACTTGAAGTATATTTTTTTCCTTAGGGGGTATTAATTACCCACTCCCCCCCATATATATATATGTGTGTGTGTGTGTGTGTGTGTGTGTGTGTGTGTGTGTGTGTGTGTGTGTGTGTGTGTGTGTGTGTGTGTGTGTGTGTGTGTGTGTGTGTGTGTGTGTGTGTGTGTGTGTGTGTGTGTGTGTGTGTGTGTGTGTGTGTGTGTGTGTGTGTGTGTGTGTGTGTGTGTGTGTGTGTGTGTGTGTGTGTGTGTGTGTGTGTGTGTGTGTGTGTGTGTGTGTGTGTGTGTGTGTGTGTGTGTGTGTGTGTGTGTGTGTGTGTGTGTGTGTGTGTGTGTGTGTGTGTGTGTGTGTGTGTGTGTGTGTGTGTGTGTGTGTGTGTGTGTGTGTGTGTGTGTGTGTGTGTGTGTGTGTGTGTGTGTGTGTGTGTGTGTGTGTGTGTGTGTGTGTGTGTGTGTGTGTGTGTGTGTGTGTGTGTGTGTGTGTGTGTGTGTGTGTGTGTGTGTGTGTGTGTGTGTGTGTGTGTGTGTGTGTGTGTGTGTGTGTGTGTGTGTGTGTGTGTGTGTGTGTGTGTGTGTGTGTGTGTGTGTGTGTGTGTGTGTGTGTGTGTGTGTGTGTGTGTGTGTGTGTGTGTGTGTGTGTGTGTGTGTGTGTGTGTGTGTGTGTGTGTGTGTGTGTGTGTGTGTGTGTGTGTGTGTGTGTGTGTGTGTGTGTGTGTGTGTGTGTGTGTGTGTGTGTGTGTGTGTGTGTGTGTGTGTGTGTGTGTGTGTGTGTGTGTGTGTGTGTGTGTGTGTGTGTGTGTGTGTGTGTGTGTGTGTGTGTGTGTGTGTGTGTGTGTGTGTGTGTGTGTGTGTGTGTGTGTGTGTGTGTGTGTGTGTGTGTGTGTGTGTGTGTGTGTGTGTGTGTGTGTGTGTGTGTGTGTGTGTGTGTGTGTGTGTGTGTGTGTGTGTGTGTGTGTGTGTGTGTGTGTGTGTGTGTGTGTGTGTGTGTGTGTGTGTGTGTGTGTGTGTGTGTGTGTGTGTGTGTGTGTGTGTGTGTGTGTGTGTGTGTGTGTGTGTGTGTGTGTGTGTGTGTGTGTGTGTGTGTGTGTGTGTGTGTGTGTGTGTGTGTGTGTGTGTGTGTGTGTGTGTGTGTGTGTGTGTGTGTGTGTGTGTGTGTGTGTGTGTGTGTGTGTGTGTGTGTGTGTGTGTGTGTGTGTGTGTGTGTGTGTGTGTGTGTGTGTGTGTGTGTGTGTGTGTGTGTGTGTGTGTGTGTGTGTTACGGTCAAAGCCCGAAGTCGGCAAATGCGCGCATTGGCCAATATCGCCTCCCATTGACCGGTCAAAGTCCGAAACTTTGCTTAACTTCGGCCTTTGGCGAGGGACGACCGGCCAAAGTCCGAATTAGAAGATCATGAGCAGATTTTTTTTTAATGCCGTAAGGATCATGAAATTAAGTTTTTATTGATTATTAATTAAAGTAAATGACAGAAACATTCAAAATTTGTATTGTACTATAGTCTCAATCAATCAATATTATCATTTGTTACAACAAGTTGAACTTTTATGCGATGGTTCGTAGTGATTTTTCCTCAGTGCCAACTGACGACAATAAGAGCAGTTTTTCGTGAAGAATTGAAAACTCACTTCTAGCATATAGTTGTAAGTTGTTTTAGAACACAATGTTCCGTTCCTAATTTGTAGAAACCGCACTCGACGCTCATGACAACTGCAATGACGCTTCGGGGATCACCGCGACCTCTGTCAACATCTGGAACACGGATGCGTACATTGTGACCCACATCAGCATCTTTAAATTTTGTATTTGATGTTTTAAGCATCTTAGCACCTTGAGTTTGCAAGCTAGTATGAGCTACTGACCTGTGTTCCATGATGTCTTGTTTGTTGTGACATAATCTGCAGGTAATATTTCCTCCGTACCCTTCGTCTGCTTCATTGGGTATTCCACACATAGCATGGACATCGTTGCCGTACCCTTCGTCTGCTTCATTGGGTATTCCACACATAGCATGGACATCGTTGCCACAGGAGCCACAAGAATGAGCTGCACTACAATGTTTTTCACAAACTATACAGAATCTGTTGGCCACATTATTGTCACGCAACTGGTCTGGACGTTACGCCACGGCAGCAGATGTGTTAGCTGAGGAAGTCGTTGCATATATGGCAACCTCCATTTCTTGTTCAATGTTCTTAAGATCTGGTTTCTGACGCCCACGCCATCTCAAGTCGCTTGGACACTATTGTTCAACTTACTAGGAACGCGGCAAAGTCTCTTGAACGTTCCGTCTTCTTGCACGTGGTCGGTGACGCCGAATGTCTTTGATTTTGTTCTTTGATGATTATCACCATGGAGGAGGCTGTCACATACAGCTGTAGCTCATATATGGAAACTAACATGGATTTACATTTTTTTCTTTTGACAGCCATCTGCTATGTCTGTCTCATGGTCTGACGGCCCTTTTGGTCCATGTCGCCTTGCATATAGAATACTATACAAACAAGAGCTAAACAATACGTTACTCGTCACAATGAAACCGCACCCAGAATAATGAAAACGCGATCACAACTTAGTCTAGATAAAACATTGGCCAGGACATCCCGGCCAGTGTGAGCATTGGCCGGCCAATGTACAAAATACACTGTCAAGTTTAAGCGCTTCGGACTTTGGCCAGTACGTCCCGGCCAGCGCGCGCATTGGCCGGCCAATGTACGAAATACGATTTTAGTGCTAAGTTCTTCGGGCTTTGGCCAAGAGAGCCGGCCAATGCGCACATTGGCCGGCCAATCCGATAATTTAAACTGATACATCTACTAATATTCTGATTGACATGTTCAGATTGACATTCATCAGTAAGAGCTTTAAAATGAACTTTTAAAAAATTTTTAAAACACACAAACCTTTAGAATTATGTGGAATAGTGTCAATAGCTGGTAGAGTCATGACCAATTTTTAAAATTACGCATTTAATAAACTTAAATGATGTTTTCTTTTTAAAATAAGCACATTCAATCTTCTATCATTAAAGCTTAGTGGCAAACTACTGCAAAGGGGTAACCCATTCAAATAAAGGATGTCACTATGGAAAGAGGTTGAAGACTAAATTATTTTAGATGTACTACATGGTGGTAAAAGGGATGTCAATATGATGTGTCGCTTGTGTTGAGTGGGGGAATTGAATATTTATAATTTTTTTATTTACTGTAGTAGCACTTTACATTGCGTATTTACTAATTGAAAAACTGGTAATATTCATATAAAATTGTCCAGATAGAATAAAAGGATCTAGTACAATAAACAAGAGTTCAATTCAACACAAAACCTCGAGTTCCAAAAACATAACCATTTATTTTCACTTTTACAAAAACATACAGTATCATTTCGTTTTACATTACTTGTGGTATGTGAAGTCAGAAGATAGCAAAACACACAATCATTATACTTAGATGTACATGTTTTAGAAGAAGATTCATACAAAATTAAAGGAAAGATTACACAGAACTGTCATTTAAAGCAAGTGCTGCTTTCATTTCATTTAAAATAGTGAAAAGAAAAAGCATGTGTGTATGTCTTCTTAGTGTGCTTTATTGGCTGCAGAGAAAATGGAACAATTTGTGTAAACCTGCCTCTCAGTATGCCTATGGCATGTAACTTGCAGCAAAAAAGGAAGCACTCCTAAGTCCAAACTTTCAATCATTTTTAGTTCCCTCTAAGGGAGTTATTAGATTTATTTGAATCAAAATGAACAATGAATTCAGATTTTGAAAGTGTAATCAGATCAAACAGAAATTAATATTTATGTAATGTAAACTTTTTCATCCTTTCTTTTTTTCTGTACAACCGTGCCTGGCTTGTGCTGTGCATCTGGATGATTAGCCAGCTCGGGGGGACAAGAAGAAGCAGAGCTCTGCAGAAGAACTTGTTTGAGATCATAGAAGGTGGCATTATCCTCTCTTGTAATAAATGTAACAGCAACACCCTCTTTGCCAGCTCGCCCTGTTCTACCAATACGATGAGTATAGTCTGAAATAGATCATTTTAAAACAATTATAGAGGGTATTTTCTTTTACAGACAATAGCTCATCAAATCAACTGAAATAATTTGTCATAATAAGCTGATTAATACCAATAAATGGATTTAAATGGATTATATATTAATCTACTGTTTTTCAGCTACAACAGTGGACATTTTGTGGTCCTCCATTAACCACCTTAAATAAACACACAACCCCAGTTGTGGATATCCATCCAAAATATGATAGTTCTCTTAAAATATTTTTAAAATACTGATTCAACTGTGTAAGTTTAAGTTGTAATACTGCAACGTTGATAATTTTTGTAATTTATCCTTAAGTACCAAATCAACTATTGGAAGAATGTGTTAAAAATATTAAATAAAATGTTTTGAAAGAAGAAATCTACATTGCTTGTTTTATTGTAAAGATTTCAATTGCCATGTCAAACCAAAAATGATGCATTAAAAAACTTGGTTCTTTTTTGGAAAGAATAGTTCAAAGTAAAAAAAAAAAGTTTTGTATAGTTGAAATTTAACATATGAACATCTACATGGACAAAAAACCCTGCCACCTTCCCCACTCAAAATACATAAAAATTGCTATAAATTCGTAAATTAAAAAAAAATGTTCCTCTAAAAAAAGTTTCAAATAATGTAACATACTTTCTGTTACAATTAATAAAGACTACATTAGAATTTAATAATTACTTATTTGTGACATTATAAATGGTTTATGATTTACAAATTAAAATACAAGATACACCAGTAGTGAATAAAAATCCAAACCTTCAATATTTCTGGCCATATCATAGTTGATAACCATTGAAACGTCTTTAATGTCGATACCACGACCTGCAACATCAGTAGCCACAAGAATTTCTTTGGAGCCTCCTTTAAGACTAGCAAGAGCAAACTCTCTCTGCTCCTGACCTTTGCCACCATGAAGAGTACAAGCATTGTACTGCAATGAAAGTTAACTCTTGATTAACAAACAAGAAGAAGAATAAATAAAACATTATGGAAGCATTTCAAATTAAGATAGGGGACTGCATGTTTGGAAGGTAGTGTAAGTCATATTGGTAATGTTAGCCTAGGTTAATTTATGAAAGAAAACACTTGTATTACAGTTAATATCAATATTCACATTCATTGCTCACCATATTCATTTTAAACTTGTAAAGATCGCAAATAACTAAATAATTTTACTGCCATACTGGCTGAGATTTAAAAAAAACTGTTACAACAAATGATAGTAGACAAGACATGTTATTTTGTCAGATTATGCAAACACTTTATAGACTAAAATCTCTTGCAAATTTGTATTCATATAGTAAAATATGTCATTTGATTTATCTGATGTTAAAATTTTATTTTAGCTACATTGACATAATCATTGACATTGACAAAATTTATTATTATGCCGCTATATCAAAATATAACTTACACCCATTTTTTCCAAAGACTTAGCCAGGACATCTGCACCTTTTTTTTGGTTGACAAAAATAATGATTGGAGGGTCAATGCCTTTGTTGAGTACATCAACAAGTTTCTTCCTAAAATCAGAAAATAACGAATACAGATTGAAATAAACTGACACAATTAAACTGATAGCATTGCATTACAAAATGTTTTTATTTAACCTTATTTCATTTAAATGAATAAAAATACATAAACTTCTCACCTCTTTTCATTCTCGCTAACCATGTAGACAATTTGTTCTACTCTGTCCACGGGTTTGCCTATATTACCAATGTACACAACTGTCGGACGCCTTAAGAAAGTTCTAGCAAGTCTCTCAATTGTTGGGGGCATAGTTGCAGTGAACATAACAGTCTATCAAAATATAATACAAAAGAATACTTTTCACAAATATTTATTGGAGTCATATGAGGTATTAAATTTTAGTGTACATAAATACAAAGTTTATCAGCATAATAGGCTAAAGAACACTTGGTGCTTTTTTAATGAAACTGATAGACCTATATTGTGAGCACATAAAGAAAACTAAAGAAAACAAACAAATGTCACCAATATATCCAAACAGTATATTCCTGTTTTAGCTAGAGATAATCCTCGAACAAAACACATATGTAACGTGAGTAAAAATAAAGATTTTTGAAAATTATGATTGCCTGCAACTGATTATGCTTTGTACAAAAACAGTAGGTTTAATCAAGAGATATACTGTCCAAGTGCAATTAGCCTTTTAAAGAGTAGCATCATTCAATAGCTTCCTCACATGGTCTGAGTTTAACTTGGTCTGAGTTTAACTAAAAATCCCACAGTTGATGTATAACTTGATAAAGTGGGTAGGGTGGAATGAGATATGAACTGGACCAAAAAACACAAGTCTATTAAGGGTTACTTAGTTTTTAAGCCAAGGTTTATTGCAGGTTTAAAAAACATTTTAGATAGTTTTAGCACTTGATTTTTACCCAAAGCAAATAAATAAATACATAACTGCCATGAAATTGTTTCAAGGCAAGAGTAATGGGTGTTAAAATTGTAAGATGACCAAAACTAAACTTACTTGTCTATATTTTTTCTTGGTATTGAAATTTCTCAACATTACTGAGTCATCTTCTGCTTCCTCTGTGTCTGGTTTTTCATTGGTCACAGGTAAATAATCTAGAATTTTGCGGACTTCAGGCTCAAAACCCATGTCTATCATTCTGTCAGCTTCATCCATCACAACATAAGTACACTGATTCAACACCAAGTATCTGTTCTCAAGCACATCAATTAATCTACCAGGTGTAGCAATGACAATCTAAACAAGTTTAGGAAAGTAAAAAAGGCTATGTCAGTACAGTGAAATACAATGATAATAAATTGAAAACTAACAAGCACATGAATAAAAAAAGTTAAACATTATACTATTATTATTTGAACATAATGAGTTGATAAGACAAATACCTCACAGCCCTGTCGTAATTTAAAGCCTTGTTCCTCTCTTGAAATACCACCAATTATAGATACTGTTCGAAAGCCAAGGTTTTTACCAAACTTTATGGACTCCTCCTCTATCTGTTGAGCCAACTCGCGGGTTGGGGCTAAAATTATAGCATATGGCCCTTGATCAGCATCTTCCATTCTAAAATAATATAAATAACAATATATATAGAGACCTCTTTATACATTATACATATTTATATTTATATATATATATATATATATATATATATATATATATACACACACACATATATATCAGTGGTTCTCAACCTGTGTTTAATGAGTGAGTCAGTCTCATGAGTTCAACAGAGATCAAGAAACACACCTCACTCATATGATTTGCGATCAGGTTTCGTTAGGGTCGACAACTGAACAGCTGATGACAGTTCAAATACAACATAGTAATATAATGCGTCAGAGAGAAGTGAGACGTATCAGTATCATATTTCAATAACGAGAAAACCTTGATGCCACGAAACAAATTCAAAATTTTGTCAACGTCATTTATACAGGCACTAGTTGATTATATATACGTGCTGTGACAAACATGTGCCCCAGTTGTCAAAATGTGACTGTCGTGTTGGTGTGTAGTGTGATTTATTTCTTAATATTTTAATCCATACTAACATGTCGAGCAAAAAAAAAAGAAAGTGGTTGGGCTAATATGCACAATATAGATTTAGATATATAACAAGAACTTGATGGGAGTCAGAGTCCTAACTGCATGATTTGCAATGCCAGGTTATGCAATTCTATTCTAGTACAGGCAAAACTAAGAGAACACTTCTTTAAGCTGCCTGAAAATGGAAAATACAAGAACACATTGTTCGCTGAATTCAAGGTGAAGGAGCGCATTTCTGAACTGGTGTCTGATTTGCAGTAAATATTTCTGATATTTTTGTGTGAAAAAAATATTTTAATTCTTTTGTTCTTTGAACACAATGATGTTGCTTAAAAAGGGTAAGAACCACTGATATATATATTTGTATATAAATTAATTTTTTTAAAATACATATCTGTCTCTTTTAAATAAAAAGCTTAGTTAAAATATGGGCTAATAAATTTAAAACACATTTTAAAATTAAAGCAAACCTTTCAATTTTAGGAAGACCCATAATCCATTTTAATAATGGAATAAGGAAAGCAGCAGTTTTACCACTGCCTGTTTCTGCAACACCAATTATATCTCTGTTCTGAAGACCAATAGGTATGGCTTGTCTTTGAATTGGTGTTGGTTCCTGAAGCAGGGTTAACAAAATGATAAAACATAAATAATACAAAATTTTGCATAATATTCAGACTTAAGTGCCCAAAGCAGAATTAAATGTGGAGCACTTGAAGGCATTAAAAATCATAGGATTTTTCTATCTTTCCATTTAAGTGCTTTTTTCTTAAGTTAGCCATTGGTACTCATTAAATGTGAGTTATAGGCCTATACATTTTTAATGCTATACTTGTTTGAGTAAAATAATCTATAAAATAGTTATTGGTCAAAACGCAATGGGCTTTACTACACGTTGAACAATATCAGTGACAAAGCAAAGAAATAACTAAAAAACCAACATTTAAAATATAATAGATTACCAATACCTATTTGAAAAATTAAAACCAAATTATTTACATTATTAGTCAACACAACACCATATTAAATGACACACTGATCAAGAGACTTAAATTATTTAGTTCAAAACCTGGCTGTTCAATGGTATTTATGTTGTGTTTTTTAAAAGTAATTTTTAATAGCTTTGGCTGAGAAAATTGTATAAATTTCATAGCGAATGTCTTGATAAGTAGGATCTATAGCTCTAAATCAAATTTGTATGAAATAGTTCATTTCTTCATATTCTAAAATATGAAGATGTGGGAAGCGAATCTTATTCAAGATAACATCATGAGTATTGTGTGTCATTTGATGTTTAATTATATTTTTTTCCCCACAATCAATGACGCCATTAGTGTAGTGTATGTTCCGTAGTTTAAACATGTGACGCCATTGTTTTTGTGTTACTTGTATCTTCTCTAGAGCGTTCTTGTCACAACTATAAACACTTTTCCAAATGCATAATTAAAAATGTGTTTCTACATTCGAATATGCCTTTATTTTCCTTCTTTAAATTTATACATTTAATACATCCAGCATATTATTTTCAACCTGAGTCCCTATCATTATATATCACTGAAGAAACTGATTTCATAGCCTCGGAAAATGATAGAGAGAGAAAGAGTTGGTAATATAGGGTTGTAAACCAAAAACATCTCAGGAAATTGGATGCACTGTGTGTTTTTCAGTTCTTCACATTAATGTCACTTTTCACTTTTTCCTACTAAGAATTTTTAATAAGAAAGAGGTTTATTTGAATTGCTTATTGTACATAGTTTTATTCTGACCTTGTATCCAATTTCATCAATGATATCCAAAAGCTCTTTGGGAAGATCTGCTTCTTTCCAAAACCGAATGGGGTTTGGAATCCGTCCGCCTTTACAACTTATGTTAAAATCTTCTTTAAAAATACGCCAATCTCTCTCCACCATATCCTCCACAGGTTTTTCTGACCAATGACGATCATCCCATTTTTGCTTAGCTTCTCTTGATGCCACAGTTTTGAGACGTTTCCTAATAAGAAATATAGATCAATTTATTAATTTAAGTATGTTTAGGGGCTACCCATGATTTATGACAACCACAAACAATTTAGATTCCCTCTGCCCTTTCAGTGTGGTTGAGTGGTAGAATGGTAGATTGCTAAACCGAAAGTCTCGAGTTAGATCTCAGACCGACTTGAGTCTGCATTGTGTCCATGATGGGTATCTGACATGTTAGGGTAAGTAAAGGTGGCAAAATGAACTCTATTTTATCTGCCCTATGATCATTAGGTCTAGAAAGGGAACTTAACTGCCCTGTTCACACACATCCTATATGTTAATATTAACAGTAGAATCTAAAAACCCTCAATATCTACAAAAAACTGATACAGGGTTTTAAATGTTAATTTTTTGGATGGAAGTAAAGTTTTAAACATATAATATCCTATGGTTCTATACAAAATCCCCCACATTTCATTTCCTTCATTATTTCCCATCACAGAGGTATTCATTTTTATAAATACAGACTCTAGGCACTGTAATTGCATTGCTTCTTGAGTAGTTATCTATTTTAAACATGAAGCAATGGTGTTAAAATGCTTTGTCTGCTGTAAGTATTTTAAAGTTAAATTCAATGTGGACAGCAAAATCGACACCCCACCCCTAAATCCAAATGGGCACAGAAGTTGATTTATTCAACTGAACCTTCATGTGGACATCATAAACAGAGTTATTTTACTATTAGGATTAAAGGTCTATGAGGCAAGTGAAGTAGAGTTCACCTGTTTCTATGACCTCTGCATATGATGAAATAGTGTGGTCAGCACTAAGCCCAGTTGATTAGGCTTATAGACAGAAGTAAAATAATTTATGAACAGACGAGCCGACCTGCTGCGTATCATACACCGCTATTTAGTTTTTTTTTCTACTTTTCAGTATTTTAAAATTTGTGAATTCGACAGTACCAATGCTGCCACTGAAAATATTTGCTTAAAAACACTAAACCCCCCTCCCCCCCCCCTTCCATGTGAAAGCAGCCTCCTCTTAGTTACCTCCTCTAAGTTTAAAATCGTTTCAAACTAAATTATCTGCCCCTAATAGCCATCACCAAACCCGTCTCTATGATTGTAAAATGTAAACAGCGTGACCACAGCTCACCAGACAATGTGGGGGTGGGGTGGGGGTGGTAGTGATAGTGATAGAGAGAAAGAGAGGGGACTGCAAGGAGGCTCTTTCAGCTTGTTTTCTAACGGCTCCCAGAAGAGAATTATATATATAGATTATTCTAAAATATTTTTTTTTTAAATCTATATGACCTTATTCTGTACAAATTGTTACAGTGACATGCCTATAGGCTAGTCATTTGAGTTTGGCAATAAATTTTTTGAGTCAATGAACCTAACAGCCTTGTTTGCTTTACTGTGTATGCTATAACAGATGGCAGATGAAGCAGGAGCATTTGGAGCGGATGTCCAAAGAGTCCAACTGTACATCATGTAATTACAGTTTTGGAAATAAACGTGTAGCCTATATTCTTAATTTTTTTAAAAGTGTAATAATGAACATACTTTTCCTGATCTTTTTCTGCCTCAGTTCTTCTTTTCTCCATGAGGTCACCATAAAATTTGGATTGGTCTTTTTTCTGGGCCTAATGGCAAACAAAATTTGATTACTTTAATACATTTATTATAGAAAATAAAATGCAAAGCTGATCCATTACATATATGTATGTAAAGCACAATAAAATAAAACAAAATATACTAATGACATGAGTAAAACATTTTTTTAAATTTTGAAATACTCCCATGTAATTTAACCCTTTAAGACTGTAACGCTCCCAGCGTTCGATAAAATTTTCTCTATTAAATTCGTTTTTGTTCAGGATCCAAGTTTTTAATAGTAAATTTAGGTCATGATAACGCTAGAGCAGCCATTTTTCATTGCATTTACTTCTTGTAGTTTTCACGTTAGGTTGATTTTGTATTTTATAGAATTTTTTTTGTAAAACAACTCGCAAAACGGCATTTTTTAACACTGCGGAATGCCGTTCAGCAGCCACGTCTAAACTATTACGTCGCAGCATTATAAAATTAACCAAAATTAAAGTTTTTATACTAAGACTAATCTGATCCATAATTTTTGTAGAAAAATGGACATTCTTTCATTTTCTATGGATAAGAACCCATGAAAAGTAATTCTTATCATTAATTTTCCCAATTGAAGCGTATTTTTGCCCGAAAAAAATCAACTCTGTATTTTTTCTTCTTTAAAACTAAGTAATTATCTTTCTTCAATAAATAAATAATTATTTAAAATTTATATCAGTGTGTAGGGCATTCAATTACAATTCATTTTTATCAATGTGTGGGGTTTAAATCAATGGGTAAAAAGATATTGGTCGTTTAGCCACAGGGGTACTGAAAAAAAAAATTCTGGTAAAATGTGAAAATAATTACGGGCTTAAAGAGTTAAATGTGCTTAATATAGTTTTTAAAAGTTTTTACATTTTTTTTAAATTAAAATATTTTTGTCTTGAAATAATAAAAAACTTAAATAGAAAGCAGAAATGTTGACCTTCATAGTGATATAATTTTAACACCGATTTATATAAAAATATTATTACAATTTTCAGAGAAAAAAATGTGTCCCTACATTTCTCTATAATTATATGCATAGTTAACTATAATTCAGTTTAATGTCGAATTCACATATAAATAAAGTCCAATATCACCAATATGTGGTTTAAATTTACTTGAACAGGATTCCCAAATCAAAGTATCTTATCTAGCATTGTTGGCTATTTGTAAATATAAACAAAAACGTTTTTATCTCCCTTGGTATTTTGTATGTTGGCATTGATACATTTTTTTACTTTGGCATACATTACAATGCAGTTATTTTTAATTTAATACTGTGAGATTGTAGAAGAAATAAGCACATTAAGCTCATTCAAAAAAAATAACTTCATTATCTGTTTTGTCCTGATAAAGCCAAACTATTGGGCAGAGAAATCAAATGGTTTTTCTATTTTTACTACACATTTTTGGTAGAAAGTGTAAAAGCTAGCTACCATAAATATATCACATTAAAACTCACCTTGATATCAATACCAGCAATGTTTCCTCTTCCGAAGAACTGTACCTGATGTTTCTCTTTATACAACTGGTTGTAGTCATTTGAAGTATCATCACCGGCATCCCAGTCGAAAACAAACTTACGATCATTTAGTCGACGTATACGTTTACGCTTTTTAATTATTCCCAAATAGCGCTCCTACAGTGAGAACAGTATAAATAAGCATCAATTAATTGCTAAGTCTATTTTAGTTATAATTTAATTAATATTTTTAATTTATAGTCTAAAATAAAACATGAATATTTTCAATTATAAAATAAAATCATACACGTATTGCTTCAGATTCTCTGTCTTTGTCTTTAACATCTTTAACTTTGGTGACAGTTTTGTCTTCTCCAGCTCCTTCTTCTTTCGCATCTTTTTCTCTTCTCATTTGACGTTCTCTTCGTTCTCTTTCTCGCTCTCTGTCCCTTTCTCTATCCCTGTCTCTATCCCGATCATCTAAAAAAATTGACAAGAATAAACAACTCCGATATAAATAGATTTCCAATCTCAATATACAAAACAAAGTAAAATTTAAATGTACAGTGGAGTCATTGGAAATGAGGTGTTTTGATCATAAATAAATCTGGGTGGTCTGAAAAAATACATAAAACTTGTATTTTTATTGTGGCACTATGTCAACATTTTAAAACTAGTCATTTGTAAAGTTCAATCATTTTTGTACAGTTCAAGTAATAGTCAGATAGGCTGGCCAGTTCCTATAATGGTTAGCTAGGTAGGACCCGTTTATTTACTGGTCAGATAGGTTAACCACTTCAAGTATAGTCAAGTAGGGTCAGAAAATAAAATGAATACAAGGAGTAAGAGAAAACCTGATGATTCTTTGGCAGCTTTAATGAAGTCTATCTGCTTTTTTCTTTCTTCGTCCATTTTCCTTCTAGCTTCATCTGCAGCTTCCTGACGTTTACGCAAAGCTTCTGCTACTCGTTCCTCTTTGGTTAAGAATTTCGGCTGTATAAAAATAAAAAGAATCCAGACTATAATCTACACATTAGGCTGCTTGCCATAAAGAAAAAACTTATTTTCTAATACTTATACGTCTATAACCTCAAAATAGCATTTCATTTATTTAATCACCTTTAAGTTAGAAGGTAGCACTTCAGTATTAGAAAGTACATAAGATATAATTATATCTAACTTTCTGTTATATAGAATGGTTGAACATTAGATACACAAACATAAGTTACCACCTGAATTGAGTTCATAATAAGAAAGAAAAATGTTCCATGTAAAAAAATCAAAATAAAGAGTTGAAAAAACAGTTAGGTGGATAAAATGTCTCACAAAACACATCAGCTCCTGTAAATTTCTGTTAACCAGAAGGGATATTTACTGTTTCCGATTGCTCAAAAATCTTTAGCAAAAAAAAACTTTTCGCCTCTATGTGTTTTCTCTAAAAACTTTTGCCACAAGCTATATTCCTATAGTGCTACTACACTGTTAAGTGCCATCCCAGCCCTTACTGTTAAATACAAATATACAAGAAAGTTTAGGAGAGCCCAATCCCACTTAATTTAAAATATAAAGCATCAAGAAAAGACCAGAGAAGGCAGTTTTAAATAAAGCTTATTATGATAAGTTATAAACAGTTATGTATGGAAAAAAAAAAATAGTTATTTGACGTTGCCATTTTGTCCATCCAAATAAAGTGGTACCTTGACATACAATGTCCTGATATACAATTTAGATACTAGCCATCGAGGGAGCAATGCTTTGAAACTTGCGCAAAATATGAGATACAAGGAACTAGTATTGTAATTTCACAGTTCATGGAAAAGAAACACCCCAAAAAAGTTGCAACTATTCCTGTATCAGAGATATTTTATGACACTTGACTAATTCATTTTCCCAAAATTCTGAAAGGGAGGAAGAAACAAACCTCCTTAGACAATTTAAAAAAAAAAACAATGTACAAGTGGAAGTGAGGAAAGTGTGGCAAAAAAGATAAAGACCAGTGAATAGAAAAGCAATAATAATGTTTAGTCAACTGTCATAAAGTCTAAGAATAAAGTGTAGATTTACAACTGTAAAGAGTAAGTGAATTCAAGTGATCTAAAGAGCATATTATTATTAATAGTGTAGCAAGCAAGTGAACAAAGTGAAACTCCTCACTCTATTTCCTCCATCCTACACCTCTCAAGTACATACATTTTACAAAACCAGTTTATTTCTTTACAATCTCTTATATCATGTTTTATACAACATTTGCAGCTTATAAATATATTTTTCTTATTATAAAACAGGAAACTAAAACAAATGTGTGGCATTTGGGGGCTGAAACGCCCATGTGGCATTTAGGAAATTTGCTTTGAGATAAGAGTAATTTGACTTACAAGCATGATTAAGGAACAAATTTATTTCCTAACTTGAACCCTTGCAACTGATATTTTTATATCTGCCTATTAATTAACTTCAGGATATTTATAAACTCTGATCCAGCCTTTTTGTTGGTATATTCTACATCAACAGCATATACTGAAATTCAACCATTGCAGGTTAGACATTTTTTAAAATTTTGTGAACTGAATGTTCTCACAACCTCTTAGACAAAATATGCTTAAAAACTGCAAATGCTGTGTAAACCATTAATTTTTATGAACTGATTTTCTCAACACTGAAACAAAATATCAATAGAATACCTACAGGATATTTTATTTAACTTTTTTAGCCAAAAATACACTAACTACTGAATAAAAATGTACATTTTAGTCATTATTTTCAATCACTATTCAAAATACAATAAAGGAAAAACTGGACATTACTTAGCTAAGTGAGTAAAGTTTTTATGACGCATAGTAACCATCATATTGTACCTTGCTTAAGGCTGCCTCCTCTGCTTTTTTCTTGGCAAGTAGCTCCTCCAACGATAATGGTACTTTCTTGTCTGCTCTTTTTTTATTTTCATTATCTTCTTCTTCTTCTTTGTTTCTAGAACAAACAAAACTTGATACTGTAGCACATATAAAATTATAATCGATACAAGTAGTTTTTTTTTCCTTCATCCGTAGGATTACTTATACAGAAAACAGTTATTATTAAAGTAATTACTTTATCTTCGGAGAATGAGATCTTTTTCTTTTGTTCTTGTCTCTTTCTCTACTATGACTTCTGTTTCTTTTTCTCTCTTTACTTCTGCTGCGCTTTCTGAAAAATTTAACATAACAAACATTTTCATGAAAATAGCCTCACTTTAACATCTACTTTATAAATTTTATAAATATTAATTTTTGTAGTCACAGAGAAATATTAGCATACACAAAAAAAAATACTAACAAGTTCTGCACTTCCATCTGATTGCTGGTAGACCATGCATAATTCACAGCAGATTCAGAGTGAAAAATGTATCAACCAAAGTTTCACTCACAAATTTTATTTTAGAAGTTATGATATTAATCCTCTAATTTACAAAACATATTTGCTATTTATTTTCTATAATGCAATAGAAAAAAAAACATACTATTTGCAAAATATTAAACCACCATGTAAGACTGTTTAAGAATTTGGTTCGACTTAAAAAAAGTTTTACTAACAGCTGATGATACAGATATAAAACAATGTTCATTGTTTAGACCAAATGTTGAGAAATAACTTTAAAATTTATAATAAATTAGCACTTCAAATTGAAAAATCAAGCATAATTAAATAAAAAATGAATAAAGAACATTTTTCAGTTTGTAAAGGAAATTACTGCCTAATTTAAAATTTCATTTTGGGTCCTCATTCCATAGTGTTCATGGAAGAGCCTGGGGGCACCAAAGAACTCTAACACCAGGGTGCAGGCGAAAGTGCCCAGTGCAGCTTGAACTTTGAAATAACTAGCACCCATAACCCTTTGTGCAGGACACACAAGCGGTGGATCCCAGGTGCTAAGGTAGCCACTTGGAAATTCTGGGCAAGAACCTTTCCAGAGTTTCCAGGAGTAATCTCAAAAAGTTTCATGGCAATCAGATGAACCATTTAGTAATGCATAAAAGACAAACACAGTAACACACATTCTTACTTTTTAAAAATATTTAGATTATATTATAACCAATCAGTTTTTCTCATACAAATGTGATACATCCACTTAACATATCATTAGTATATGTCAATAGAAATGTGGCCTTATCTTATAACTTATACAATCTTTGCTTGTGTTGAAATGTGCAAAAAAAGTCATGAAGATATTGTACAGCAGTGGGTTTTTTAGTTGTTAAAATAGAACCCAATAGAAACACCCATTCTAGTTTTTTAATTGTTAAAATAGAAATTAATAGGAACACCCATTCTGGTTTTTTAATTGTTAAAATAGGACCCGATAGAAACACCCATTCTGGTTTTTTAAACCAGCACTGCAATAATATAATATAACTAAAAATAATAATTAATACATTAAGAGGTGCTACAAAATGTGCTGAGTAAAAGTACCTTTCTCTGCTCTTTGATCTGTGCCTAGATTTGGTTTTATTTCGTTCTTTAGACCGTGATCTTTCTCTACGCGTGTCTTTCTTTTTTAGATCTTCTGAATCAATCCTCGTGTCAGTCTTTATGGGACTTCGAGAACGAGAACGTGCTCCTGGACTCATTACTATATTCTAATCTAGAAATAAAAACAAAACAGATTAGGGAGCTGGTAACATAAAAATTATGTAACCACCTGTCTCAGGAAAAAGGTGAAATATTTTTACAAGCTGGGGATGGGGGTAGGAAAGGGGTTGAGTCAATTTTCAATCTCAACCCATGCAAACTGCAAAGTAATTCAAGTTTTATAAAAACATCACAAACTTATTTTCAAACTACTAGATCTAGGTGTAGTTGTTAGTTAAGTTAGTAGATCTAGAATCTAGAGTAGATGTAGAATTGAATTATTTCAATATTATAATCTTAGTTATTACTATAATACTATTAGATAAGAACTAGTTACTAGTCTAAAAGCTAGAATCACTAGCAGACTTAGGATTTAGAATTTAGTTCTGATTTTGATTTAGATTCTATAAAACAGTGGTTCCCAAACTATTTATATTATATATAAAAAGTAAATAACCCGCGACCCCCATAGAAAAGTTGAAATTAGTGAGGAAATTAATAAGTACTAGATACAATTTTCTAGTAGACTTCAATATGAATTATTCTTGATAACTGTATTTTCATACGATGAGCAAAATTACATGCTATTAACTAGACTCAACATTCGCTGTTGAGTTTTTGTTAACGCCAACCTTATGTCATTCTCAACATTTAATTTATTTATTTTTTTGTTTTTTATTGGAGAAGTGTTGAAAATCTATTCCCGCAAAGATATGTAGACACAAAAGGAACTAAAACTCGAAAGACAATTTCACGTTTTGGTATGAATGGAGTATACTACACCAAAACTGTGTGAGCAGTTTTTCATCTGACCAGGAATCATTCCTCAAATTTAAGAATCCATCTTGTAATTCATCTTGAATGCTCGCAACATCAAGGGAAGTAGAGAATGGGTTATGTGTCAATGCAGATTCTTCTTCTTTCAGCTAAGAGAAATAACGCGCCAGTTCAATTCCAAGAGATTCAAGATGCCTAAAAATCTCCTTGTTCAAATTTTTATTTACCTCACAATCAGATTATTTTTCTTCACCAATTTTGCAGCTTTGATAATCAAGAAAAGAGATGATGTTCAAAAATATCTGATAGGTATGCTACTCTCTCCAACCACTCTTTGTTGTTACAAGAACAACTTGATTTCATCTTTCAATTCAAAAACATGATTTACAACATTTCCTTTTGACAGCCAGCGTACACGATTCACATTTCCTTTTGATAGCCAGAGTACTATAGTGTAGAAAGGCAGAACCTCATGATCTTTATTCATGTCTTTGCACATTCTTTAAACACACTGGTGTTTAGGGCTCCAGGATTAATATAATTTACGACTTTAATTAACAATGGAGTCGGAAGTCTTGCTGGCGAGGGCATACTAGTGAATTTGCCTTGGTTAGAGAGCTAAATCTGTTTTCTGAAAGACTGATTTTTATCCAACATGGCGCACCATTCATACAAACCCCACAGTCGTTTTCCCATTTTAATCAACCAGTTTGAAAATACGTATTTATTTTCTCCATGATATCACATAACAACAACTCTTCTTTACTATTATCTGAATGAATATATTTCACAAAGACAAGCAATTGCAAACAATAGTGAAAACTTGATTTCATTCACAATTTGTTCTTTAAACATCTACGGACATGTCAGCTAAAAGCTGCTGAATAGCATTATTAGACAGAGCTATTTGTTGCATCTTTACTGCACTGGAATCCCCAAAAAAAATCTCTCCTATTGTGTGAGAGGTTTCTTTGCTTGGCAATTTCTAATGCAACTTCATTTGATGCTTGCACTAATGCTGTGTTTCCTTAGTGAAAAGTAGTGAAAACTTCCTGTTCAATCAATTCTCTGACGTTCCCAACAAACTTCATGCCAACAAAAGAACTCCATATCTTTTTTGGTGTGTTTCGAACGACTCGTCTCAAAATGACGTTTTAGTTTTGAAGGTCATAGACTAATGACTGAAAACAAATTTGCACTGTTAGCGTATTGTTTTTTCTCTATTCCATTTCCAGTGATATTAGTAAAGCCGAATTTTATTTTTACTGCTAAGGTTTACGGTTTACCGTTTAGTCAACAAGTTGGCGACCCCCTCCCAGTGAGCCCTCCACGACCCCAGACCCACAGTTTGGGAACCCACGCTATAAAACATTAAAACTAGAATAATTCTAGTTAGATTCTAGATCTAGATCTAGATTCTCTGACTACTACTAGGACTAGATTTAACTAGATTCTAGATCTACTTAACTAGTTAGTTTGTAGTTAGATCTAGTACTAAACTAACTACTAATAAACAAGATCTAGAATCTCGCTAGCTAGATCTAGTGAACATTAGGTAAAATGACGATATTGCGTCCTTTATTATTCCGGAATTGTACAGCAGTAAAAAACCTTAAAACCATGGCGTAGTCTGCCGAGCCGTTCCGGAAACCACCGATAATACTGTAAACCATCATTTGTTTTCCGCCATATTATTTTTAATACATAGATCTAGGGGCCTAATGTTTAAAAATGTGCATGGATTAATTTTAGTTGAATTTTAAACTGTTTTGCTAATTATTTTGTATTTCTAATTATTTTAAGTGTACCTATATGCTAATTTTTGCTGCTACTAAACATTGTTCTAGTTCTTCTTACTAGATCTACTTTTAACTTTATAGGCCTAAATCTAATCGTCTTATTTTACTCAATCTAGCTAGATCAAGATGTGGCAAATCTTCTGCAAGTTTTTTTTCTGTTTCTTAAAAATAAATAAATAATTAGGCCTATAGGCCTAATACATTCGACTTTATTAATAAAATTTAGATTTAGGCCTACTAACTGTTAATAATTTTCTGTCAATTAAACTTTAAATTAAGTTAAAACAATTATTAATTTAATGCACATGACTTTAGGCCTATTAAATCTTTATTTTTATTTCAACTGTCAAATAAACTATGGTTTGCGGTAACGAATGTTTACGAAACTCAACAAAAATCACCGGATAATTTACGACACTATATTGTGATTTTACCGACTATTATACTTATATACTATAGTTTAGTAGTTACTACTAGTACTACTAGAGTCTAAATCTAGATCCACTATACTTCTTTTAGTACTTAGATCTACTACTAGCCGTAAGGCCGTAGGGCAGATAATAATATCATGGCCTATGCTAGCCGGAATAAGATACGCATGCGCAATGGAGAGAAACTACGACTTGCCATCGCAGCGATGTTTTTTATGGTACTGCGCATGCGTGTGTTTATAACTGCAGAACCCTAACCCTATCTCTTAATCCTATCCTTGACCCTAGCCCTAATCCTTTCCCTAACCCTAATTCATTTCTGCTAGTCCTAACGCCTAATAACCTAACCATAGGTCACTGCGTAAGAGCAGAGCTATCATTTGTTGACTAAGTGGAGACGTTGGGGAGAAAAATCTTCCTCAGAGTAGTCACTTTGTAATTTTCTTATTCTTAACTTTCTTATTCCGGCTAAGATACGCATACGATACGCATGCGCAATGGAGAGAAACTACGACTTGCCTTAGCGGAGATGTTTTTGATGGTACTGCGCATGCGTGTGTTTACAACCGCAGAACCCTATCACCAACCCTAATCCTATCCTTAACCCTATCCTTATCCCTAATCCTATCCCTAACCCTATCCCTAATCCTAACCCTCATTCTAGCCCTAACCCTAGCCATAGGTCACTGCGCATGCGCAGGGCTATCTTTTGCCAACTAAGTGGAGACGTTGGGGAGAAAAATCTTCCGAGTAGACACTTCGTTAATAATTATTTAATTATCATGGCATGGATGGAGTATTTATTTTGGTTGTCAGTAGGGCCAGATTCTTCTAACTAGATCTAAATTTCTAGATTAGATTTAGATTTTAGATCAATCTAGAATCTAGATCTAATCTAGATTCTAGAATCTAGATCAGTAGATTTAGATTCTAGAATCTAGACTCTTACCCAAATACCTATTAGATCTACTTACTAGATTCAAGATCTAGAAACCTAGATTAGATTACAGATGATTAATCATCTAGTCTAGTAATAGTATGAATGATGGTATTAACAGGTATTAAGTTCTACACTCACAGTCACACTGGGTAGACTCGAATATTTATTTTTAATCGTTCAGCATAGGTTTACTTTGCAGTAAACCGGAAATAGAACTTCAGCATTAAGAGATAAGTTTTAGTAGGCCCATAGCAGTATCATAGAGCAGCTTTTAAAATAATAAAATGTACAGATCTAGAATCTAGATCTATTTCAAGATTTAGATTATAATATTTTCCAGGAGCGTAATAAACGAGGAAGCGTATATAGGCCTACTATGTTCAGCAGTTAAAGAGGATGGCGAATGCCATACTTATGCTGTGAAATCTTTGGGAGACAATCTGTGTACTGTGTATGTGTGTGTTTGGGGGGGGGGGGGGGGGCGGGGTCTTCACGCTTTTGCTCATCCTACCCTCTCCCAAACTGAAATCCATAATTTTTCTTTTAAAAAATGATTTTTTCAGTACTATCAATATCAGGTTACGGTGGTGCACCTCCAAAACGGCCCGGGACAACTCGGCCCCGTCAAAACGGCCCCGTTAATATGACCCCGTCAAATCGACCCCCGACAAAACGACCCCGTCAAAATAGCCCCGTCAAAAGGGCCCCGACTTATTGGCTCCCGTCAAATGGGCTGCTGTCATAATGACTCGCGACAAATAGGCTCCCGACGAATGGGCTCCCGACATTTAGGCTCCCGACAAATAAGCTCAGGACATATTAGCTCCCGACATAAGGGCTCACGACATATTACCTACTAGGCTCCCGATATATTGGCTTCCGACAAAATGACTCCGACAAAAGGGCTCCCGATATATTGGCTTCCGACAAAATGACTCCGTGCATATTGGCTCCAGACAAATGAATCGTATTACCACTATTGGCATAAAAGTAACCATTTTGTCATACATCCACTACCACTATGACCCAGTGGCGTAGCGAGGTCGGGTGTCACCCGGTGCGGCACTTAATGGTGTCACCCCCCAGAGGCGTAGCGACCCTTCCCCGGGACAAACTTTCAAACTTTCGATTTGCACCCCCCTCGAACTTTCAATTTGCACCAATTTTGCTATTTTTTGCCTTGGTGTCACCCCCCTAAATGGTGTCACTCGGTGCGGTCCGCACCCCCCCCCCCGCCCCCTCGCTACGCCTCTGCTATGGCCTCTTTTAAATGGCTGCATGAAATTGTTTTTCATGAACAAACATCAAATCACAAACAAATCTAGCCCTTAACAGCTAAATTCCACCAATTCTAAAGTTTTGATAATGTTTAATTTACAACAGTGAAGATATGTTGCTTAAAAGCGAGCACTGAAGTGTAAATGTATGATATACAAGATGTTTACAGGGTAACGGCATTTTGTTTTGATAACCTACAAGCATACTGCAGGTAGGGATGTATAGCGTGGACCACTCTCCCCACACACTTTAGTTGGAACCGCCCTTCAATCGACTCATATATGGAAGTCATAGATAGATGACCCTTAAATTAAAACATACTTTTTCTTATACTAAATAAAATAATATAAATTTAGGCCTGCCGAACCAGAGATGCATACGTTGTATTACATAAGAGTGTTGGATAAGCTAACTCTAAAAATATTGATGGCAGGTGTCATATTCAATTAGACCGTTTTGCCTGGAGACTTAGTCTCTACAGAAACCGTATTGTCAGTGGTCCTTTTGTAGGGAGTCAAATTGACAGGAGCCTATTTGTCGTGAGCGAAAATGACGCGAGCCTATTAGTCGTGAGTCGTAATGGCGGGGGCTGTTTTGTCGAAAAACTAAATGACGGGAGCGCATATGTCGGGAGTCGTAATGATGGGGGCCGTTTTGTCAAAAAACTAAATGACGGGAGCCTATATGTCGGGAGCCTTATTGACTGAGGCCCTTTTATCGGGAGCCTATATGACGGGGTCCATATGTCGCTGGCCCTTTTGACGGGGTCGATTTGACGGGGTCGCTTTGTCATTTGCCGCTTTGACGCCGCACGGGTTACGGTACAATACTACTTTAACTACTTTTATTTTCATAATAATTTACAAAAATATGTTTATTAATTAAATAAACGCTGTTTAAAATACACTTCTTTTAAATACCAAAATGTGATGTCACACTCTCCTACCCCTTGCCTTAACCCTTAAACTACTCGCCAAGAGTACAATGATTATTATTTTTGGATGCTCCTCAAAGAGTCAAACCCATTTAATAATTTGTGAGTGGGACACATGCAGAGGGTAGACTGGGGAGTTCAACCCAGAGGCGTAGCGACGGGAGGGGGTACATGTCCCTGGGCAGTAGCGTGGCGAGGGGGGGGGCGACATATGTCCCCGGGCGCCGACCTTAGGGGGCGCCAAAATGGGTTGGAAAGATAAATTGAAAGGTTGAGGGTGGTGTAAATCGAAAGGGTCGCTACGCCTCTGTCCCCGGGTGCGCCAAAATAAGCTAATTTTAGCTGCTATTTTGAATTATAAATATAAAAAATATATCGGGGGGGGGGGGGGGGGGGGAAAGGAAAATTGAAAGTTTGTCCCCGGGAGGGGTCGCTACGCCTCTGGTTCAACCACCCCCCCTCCCAAAAAAGTGATTTAAGTATGTCAAAAGTTTGCCAGATGGCTCATCTAGTCTAACATCAGCCTGCTTTCCTTTCTGGATTTGCTACCATTCTAGCATTTGTCCACCCAAAAACAATCTGTTTGATTTTTGAGTTTTCTCTCCAAAAAGTCTTAGATGGGTAGCTGTCCCTAGCTGGCAAGCCTCATCTGCCATGTGGTCCAAACTTGAGACTTAGTATGTGCTACCATGAGCTTTCTCGTCTGATCAGGCTATCCCCTTGAATGTTAATGATTTTCAATATTACCGCACTGTCTATGGTGGCCCACCACCCATCCATTTTTCTTCATTCTCAACTAAAGTACCTGTAATTCATTGCTGCAATCTCAGAAGAAAGGAAATTGAAACTAATAAAAATTTTAAGAGCGTGGTATCAATGTGTTAATAATGTATTTTTAGACGTGACATTTTCTTAAACTTGAGTTGTAATTAAACAATGACAGTGCTATAGATTTTGGATCTTAGTTGCTGTGGCACGGGTTCTTCCACACTACCACCCCACAAAGTATGAAAATAATGAGTGTATGTTGGTCACCATCAGTAAGTTGGACGTAGAACATCCTTCAACCACCATCCATATCAGTCATTGCAAGGTGCTCTTGGGAGCCACTGGTTACAGTACTGCAGGGGCAAGTGGTGCCACCTCTGGTTCAGTTTAGTCACAAACATGAAGCGGGTTTGGAAGTAGACCAAAGATGGGTACAGCTATGTAATATTAATAGTAATATGGTCCTAGAAAAGGCAGAATCGGTTTAGCCAGACAGGATCTGAGCCCACCATTCCATATGGCACCAAATCAACTTTATAGCTCTGAGTTGTGGACATGAAAACAAACTAATAACAACAAACTTCAGACTTTCATTAATTGATGACTGTGTCAGATATTAAACATCAGGTGGCCTGAAAAAATACCAACCTATGAAGGAAAACTGCAAAACCCTACTGGCACAGAAATACAAAAGCGCAAATGGGGATGGTATGGAAAAACCTTGCTTAAAACAACTAGCAACATCACCAGACAAGGAAAGTAGGTAGGCCAAAACAAACTTGGAAAAGATCAGCTGTCTGTGAAGAAGAATGAATGTGGTGGACCTGACTTGGAGGAATAGCCCCAAAACAGACTACGATGGAAAGGTGTGGCTGCATCCGATGTAATGATGATGATACATGCTGTTTTAATTTCAATGGTGCAGTCACGCTTATAATAAGTTATAATAAAAAATGCTGCATAAAGCTTAAAATTACCTACTTTGTGTGTTGTTTGTTTAAATAGATTCTTGGCTAGTATTCTGTTTTATAATGTTGGTTTTATTAATGTTTAATTTGAAATTTAAAGCTTTTACAAATAAAAATATCTTACTGAGAAATGAAGTCAAGCACTTTATTTAACCAAAAAAGACAAAATTATGTCAAAAATAATCAGTATTTTGAATAATAAGAAATTGGAACAAATATTCAGCTGATTATTTTCCAACGATTTCAAATGTATATCCAGACTCAAAGTTCTGCAACATTGCATGTCAAGCTTAGTGTACACTTTTATAAAGAAGAATAATATTCTAGTTGCTTTTCAAGTTTCATGACTGTTCACTGACATCATAATTTAGCTCTAAAATATCCTGAAAAAAATATTAAAGAAAGCAATTATGTATTACTAAAAGTAAACCCAATAGGATAAAATATAATGAATAATAATAAGTAAAAAAATATTTTTTCTAAATCATCAATACAGTTTTTTTAAAAAGCTATTCATAAACATCAACCATTCTCCACATGCCTTTTGTTACATGTGGCAAAGCTATACATTTCTTTTCTGGTTGTTCCTACTATTAGCACTTAGTAGGCTTCTGCATGTTCACAGGTGGCTGCTATAAATGTTTTTTTTTTTTTTTTTGTAAACAAACATTTTGTAAATATGTTGTAATGCTTGTTTAATTTTTATCAGCTGTCAATCTTTAATAGCAGCTTTGATCTAATTTTTTGTCTTACACATGACTTAATAAGTCTTATTGAACAACGAAAGCTTTGACCCATCAGTTGTCTAGGTTGAAGCATAGAATAAAATGCATGACCTAGTATTTTTTAGAACACCAATTTATTTTGATTCAAGTAATTTTGAAACAATTAAAAACTATACTTTTTTAATTTTAATTTGACAGCAATATGAATGTTTAGAATATTTATATTATTTAATTATTCTTGGAAATTATCTTGGTACAAAGGAACATTAAATTCTCTATGAGCGTAACAATGATATGACACAGATGAATTATATCTGTGTTGATGTAGATTCATATTACTTAAAGAATACATTTTTAAATTACGAAAAACCTTTGTAAAAATTAAAAAGAGGCTAGGTATTTATTAGCAGAAATCATTAGCAAGGCCTTTATTTTTAAAAATAGCTTAAGTGTGGCATCCTTCGATTTGTGAAATCAAAAACTAATGAATCATTAGGCATCATTATTATAAGTAGGTTACCATGAAAGTGTGGGAAATAAATAGCAAATGTTATGTGTCAGTGACATAAGACTAAATTTACAGTTAAAAAAAACATTTAAAAATATTTACTTACCTTATCATGGCAATATAAATCTTTAACTGCTTTAAGAGTGTGGCTGTTGCTTAGACAAACAAAACCCGATCTACATGGACAGTATAGTGCAACCTGTCAATCAATATTAAAATCAAATTTAGAAATGATTTATGTAAAAAAGAAACCTATTAGATTGAAACTTTTCCCATGGCCAACCTAAAAGTTTCAAAAGTAAAAGTAAAATAACAAAAAAGCATAAAAAATTAACCAGATGTTTTCCTTAAAGAAGAAATACCTAACACTGTGTAAAAAAAGGAAGTATCTAAGACCATAAAAACAGAAAATATCAAGTACTTTAAAAAAAAAGAGTAAAGTAGGATTGTAAAAAAAAGAGGAAATATCTTGGACTGTGTATTCAAGAGGAAATATCTAAGATTGTAAAAAAAAAAAATAATACAAGAAATATCGAGAACTGTTAAAAAATAATCTAGGACTGTGTATAAAAGAGGAAATAATCTAGGCCTGAATATAAAGAGAGGAAATATAAAAGACTGTGTAACAAACCCTGTGAGAATCCTGAATGTGAAGTTTTTTCTTCAAGAATGTCATCAGATTGTTAATTGTAGCACACCCCGTGACACGAACATACTGTTTATCCTAAAGAATAAACGTAAATTTTTTTTTTAAGTTTTGGGTTTTTTAGTAGATCTAAATCATTTTTAAAAAAGTTTGCTTGCAAGAATAGATCCAGATTTAACAGTGTGAAATAAATAAAGCGGGAGTGATCTCACCAACATTTTCTCGAATATTTTAATGTAACATTATGGGGAATGCAACTGGGGATATAGACTTGATTTTTAATTACTTCAACTTTTAAAAATAGAATAGATCTCTTGAAAAAAAGAATTGTGCACTAAGTGAAAAGCAAACTATATGTGTATAATAGTGCAGAATATAAGAACTTTATAAATTCATATGCATTTTTTGAGAAATCTGAAGTAACGTAAAGTACTACTTCTGGCTAACGGAAATTACTTAAAATTTGAGAGAAGGCAGAGAATTAGATCTTTTACTTATATGTGAAATTTCATTTATCTATGTACAATAGTACTCAAGTTACAGGCTTTTGAAAAACCAAAAGTAGAATAAAATACACTACCCGTAATCGGAAAAGTTGATACAGAACTAGTAATTAGATAATATACTTATATATGAAATTTCATCAACCTAGCTGTAACGGTATTCAAGTTATCGTGTTCACAGACATACACATACACACATGGACAAAACTGCAAAACTATGTTTTTCCAACTCAGGAAGTTGTAAAACTTTGAGAAATCTCAATTTTGATTTTTTGCACGGTTACAATACTTCATCTATACTTTGTATAGGAGAAAGTAAAAACTGTCAGTCAAATTACTAAATAATAAACTAATCATGAAATGGGTTCATCACATTTCTAGCTACATAACTTACCAGCTTATGTACAGAATTTTTTGGCCTGTAAAATAAGAACACAAGGGTATTAAAATATCTTTTTACAGTAAATAGTAGTTGCATTATTATAGCAGCCTGCAGTTCAGGTTTAGATTTTAATATGATAATTTATTATTTTCTCTTGCCTAAGCTGATTTGGCAGCTTGTATGATTCTGACATAATTTTAGTTGTCACCTTGTGCATTGCGCAACATAGCTTAGATGATCCTTTTTGGCATCAAACTGGGAACTTTTTGTTCAACAATCTTATTGCTAACTTCAAATTGTTTTAAAGAAGAGCACACAGAGTTTAAAATTCTTTTTTTTTTTAGCAATGTAAACCAGTGAGTAGTATTCAATTACTATTCATTCACAATCCTGCTATACTATAATTATTTGGTAAATAAAGTGGTTAAATTACCACCATTGAATAGCTCCATTTTATTCCAGATATAAGAAGGTTCTGTTTGATAGGGTTAAATAATATTCAACTTTGAGGCTCAGAACTTACTTATTATTCTATAAAATAGGTTAGCTACAAAAAATAGGTAAAGAGTTGATGTGTGTAAGTACACTAAACCAGCCCCAGCCAACCATAAATAAAATTAATTTGAAAATTTAATTTTTTTATACCTTTGTCTTCATAGTTGTTTTGGTTTTTGATCAACATACATTCTAACATTTCATAATAAAATAAGATGTGAAAATTACAAAAAAATGAACTTACTCTAGGCACTGAAGACACAAAGATACTGGTGGAACAAATGAATTTCTGTGAGAAACTGGAGTACAAGAACGTTTTTGGATAGGTGTTGAAGTAATAGCACTGGATGTTTTGGGCTGTACCTTGGCTTGATTATCTACAAATAATAAGAATTTTTTTAAACCATCATTTTTTAAACCATCATTTAATTAAACTATGATACATTTATAATAATTAGCAAAGTAAACCAGAGATCGACTTGCTTTGAGGGAAAGAGCACTATACTTAATTAAATGACAAAAGATACTTACTATTAACATGAGTAACCTCTTTCTTGTGTTTTTCAAAGAAAGCTTTTTCTCGTTTAAGCTCCTCTGAAAAACAATTTTTTAAATTAATGTACAATTTTTAAAAAAAATATTTGAAAGCTTAATTTTCAATAGTAAATTGAAATAATTTGTGTAATGCTAAGCCGATAAAGAATATGAAATAAAAATATACTAACCTTTTTCTAAGTGTGGCAAAAGAGCATATACAATATCTTGTAACAAACCATCCAGTCTAAGATATAAAAAAAAACTAGATCTATACATACTTGCTATATAATGTTTTATATATGGCAGGAAACAGATTGGTACCGCAAAATGCATATTCGGTCTTCGCCGTTCATAAACTTTCTAACCAGACATCGTTCGGGGATTTTGTTTATACTGATAAATAGAGCAAGGTTTTTACAAGCTTCGTTAGCAACATTTTTGTGGAATTCGTTTTTTATGACATTTTGTGCCGCGGCGAAGGATGCGAAGTATGCAAATCTAGACGGAATGGATCTACTTGGAAAGTACGTGTACTGCACTAATGAGGTAAGAAATAATATTTTGTAAAAATAACTATTATTTTTTTATGGATTTTTCATTAGAAATGATTGCTGTAAATTATGAAAGTAAAAAAAAAGTATATTTGAATGCGTTTTTTACTTTAATTTGAACAAAATGACTGCCGAAAATTACGACACATCGGCGTCGCTGAAAGCGGGAATTTCAGTTAATTTTTTACGGATATAAAATTGTATTTTTTTACTCCGAAGCATGTATTTAAATAACAGTTAAGTTAAATCTATTTAATTCTGTAAAATATAATTATTATTTTGCCGTAGATACTTTTTTTTATATTTTTAATGATTTTCTGTCGCGGAAAATCGGTATTCGCACCATGCACGCACACGTAGTAAAACTAGACTTATCTTTAAAACACGAGAATCTTGAGTACACTGCGAATAACAAAGTTTTTAAATTTTAGTTTACTTTTGACTTTAAGCCATTTGTTTTAAATCGAAATTAATTGATAATGTAATTATTTCAAAGTAAAAATTTTCCGTCGCAAATTGGGTTCTAACCTTCGCCACTGAACCAGCCTACGCACGACATTCGCGCGAGTCTGTTTCTTCGCAATAGTCTGTATAGTGTCGAGGGCTAATTCTAAAAAGAATCGAGTCCTTACTAATCTAATGTTTATTAAAATTAGGTACAATTGTTGGAACGCATGAGAAATAACAAATTAATATTTCTTTAAATCTATAGCCAAAAGAAAGTAGAACTTTATAACTCTGTAAATTATGAATCGAGTGACGGCTGTCGTGAAAACGGGAGCCATTTGACTTTTTTTTTTTTTAGGGTGACCTACTTTTATTATATAATTTTAAAATTCATCGATTTGATAAGCAGCTGAGTAGCTGACTACGCATGCGATATGGCTGGCACGTTTTGGGATAGGGATCGAGTACACCATAGAATTTTTTTTCTTAGAACTAAGCGTATTTTTTTTTTAAATCAAAAGATACTTACATATCAGTTGTTGATTTCAATTTCATTATAGATCTAATCACTAACTTCAGTTTTTAAAAGTGATTTTGCTTCTAGAACTAGCGTATTTTCAAAATTACGTAGATTCTAAATCTAGATCTATTCACTTACTATTTGACAACCGTGTCAGTAAAATGAGGTCACCGCTTCCAGATTCTTAGGTTTTAATTATGTTTGTCATTTTGATCTATTATAAGTAGCATTAAAACAACTGCATCTATTATCAACATTGTTTTTATATGCCAGTTCTAATTATACATTCTGTTCATTACCAATTCTAATGAAATCGTATCAGGCCCTAACACCCTGTTCACCTACACTGACACTACACTTGAATGACGCCACAGACAGTCGTAACTTTAAATTAATGTTCAAAGTACTAAACAATTATAATTAGCCATGTAAATGCTGCAACTATATTAAAAATTGGCATATAGACATATTTTATTAATTATGTTTTTTATATAGACCTTCTATATTTAACTCTGTTATTTTTTTCTTCCCCAGAGTGTTTCTAAAAGCCAGAATTTTAAAGGGGAGGGCGGTCGTTTTTTTTCGCAAGAATAATTATAGAAATAAGCTATAAACTGGTATATTTTGTAAAGTTTGACATAATTACAAATAAATGTATGCCTAAGTGACATTTCTGTGTAATTATATTGTTAATTTTGTGAATTTCGTGGATTTTTGGACCTCACTACATTTAGATGTAAAAAAAAATCTCAGTTGAGTGAGTGTGGTTAATCTACATTTTGAACGTGATGTAAATGTCTAGTGCTATTAATTTTTATATTTTTGAATTCCTCGATTGTTAAGCAACAAAATTGATATATAATATGTCAATATTTGTTACTTTGAAAATTGGCGAAAATCGACCCTAAAAGTAGATGCTTGAGGGTTGAATCTGTTTCCTGCCATATAGATCTACTACATACTGCATACCCGTTCTTCACACACTGTAAATCTTTTTTAAATGTACCAACTTGGGAACAGAATTAACAAACACAACGCAAACACTAATACAAACAAACGCAAACTCTTACAAAAACGAAATGCAAACACACAAACAACGCAAATGCAACACACAAACAAAAACGCAAACACAAATTCAGACTTAATTAATAAAAATGTCAATAAGGAAAGTGAGAAATTCTTTTTATACAATGCACTGTCATTTATGTTTTATGGATGATTCAAAAAATTATTATCTAGATCTAGTAATAAATATTTCTCTCACCTGATGTGAACAAATGGATCAGTGGGGTGAATGAGAATAGCACACATTGGACAATTTAGGCTTCTTTCCAGATGTTTAACAATACAATTCTTGCAAACTATTTTGGAAATATTATGACTAAATCTATATGTTCAATGTGAATAATAAGTGAAGACAGAAAATGACCAAAAATATTAAAAATATGACCAAAAAATATTTAGTTTTTAGCTAGGCCTATCTATAGATTCTACATTAGTTTTCCAATATATCAAATTTCTGAAAAATTCATTTTACTCACATGAGTGCATGCATTCTGTGATAGTACATGCTTCATACAAGTAGCCTTGACACAAGCCACAAATCAGATGTGGGTTTACAGACTGAATGGGTATCCAGAGAATGTTGTTTTGGTCTATGCGCCTAGACAGTTTCAACTCTTTGCTAGAGCACTCATTTGCTAGATTTTCTTGCATTTTATTCTGCAACCAATTAAAGAAATCACTAAAATGACAGAAAACTAGATCTATAAAAGCCATAAGCCCTGTCATAACTAATTTTAGGCCTAGTTCTAGAAGTCTAGATTCTAGATATTTAGATGTAGAGTCTAGATCTAGATTCTAGAACTGATCTAGAAAAAATCTAATAAATTTTAATAAAAAATATTAGGCCAAAGCTTTCCCCAGCCAGTTGAGAATAGCCGTATTGGGGCTATTCCCAGCTGACTGTGCATAGCCCCAATCAATAGATTCTCTAGATCTAGAATCTAAATCTAGAAATCTAGATTTAGAATTTAGATCTAGATCTAGATCTAGTGAAGTGATTCTAGAATTCTAGATCTAGCGCGATATTGTTGAAGCCACTCTAACTTACAGATGGCCGCTTTTTATATAAGTCTAGAATCTAGATCTAGTCTAATCTAGATCTTGATCTAATGATTACTAGATCTAGATCTAGATCTAGAACTTGTGTAAATGAATGTGTAGGCCTAGTTGTAGGTCTTGCGTTTATTGCTCTACTCTAAACATAAACCTAAGTTCCCATTAAACTTTTTAAATTTCACTTTATTCTAGAATCTAGAGGTCTAGGCCCAGAGATCTCTTGAGTAGAACGGGAAGTTCCCATCGTGACGTAGCCTAAACACCCACAGTGTTTCTTCCAGACTTTTTTTTCTATTTTGTGTGTGTTGGGGGGGGGGGGGGGGGGGGGGCAGTGGCGTAGTGAGGCGTAGTGAGGTCGGGTGTCACCCGGTGCGGCACCTGATGGTGTCACCTCCATATATATATATATATATATATATATATATATATATATAATATATATATATATATATATATATATATATATATATATATATATATATATATATATATATATATATATATATATATATATATATATATATATACCATATACACTTGTAATATATATACACCTCCATATATATATATATATATTATATATATATATATATATATATATATATATATATATATATATATATATACCATATACACTTGTAAGTATGTGTATACGCATGTGTATAATTATTTAATTTTTTTTTCTGCTGAATGTATTTAATTTTTTTTACCCCCCCCCCCCCCCCCACATGGTTTAACATATAGCTTATTACAATTCTCAACCAAACCGTTTACCTCAAGCATATATATTGCAGCGTTGAGTTGAGAGAACTCTCCCCATCCCCCTCGTCACGCCCACGGTGATTGCTTTAAACTATGCTAAGATAACACTAACGATGTGTATCTATATAAATATAAATTCAGCTGGATGTTGCATGTTTTCTTTTACCATTAGCAGATTTACGACATGGTGTCACCCCCCCCCACCACTCGCGTCGGAATTTGTCCACTTTGATCTTAAAAGACTATTTAATCCACTCTAATTAATAATTTACTCAAGTGAAATTATCATTTTCTGTATATATTTTGCTTATTTTTGCCTTGGTGTCGCCCCCGCCCTAAATGGTGTCACCCGGTGCGGTCCGCACCCCCGCCCCCCTAACTGCGCCACTGTGGGGGGGGGGTGACAATATTTTCCGTACACTACAATTCTTCGGGTAGGGGCAAAGCCCTATTCCCGCCCCCTCCCCCTAACTCAAAAGAAATGACGTCATCGATACTTTATAATAAAAAGACTCACATTAAGGCATATTTATTGTGTCTAATCTTATAATCGTTTTGCGTGTAGAGTTTCTTTCATGCAATTCTTCGGGTAGTGGCTAAGCGCGACATCAGTGTTTCTTTCAGACTTTTTCTTCCTCTGAGGGGGGGGGGGTGAACTTTTTGGTGGCCGGAAAGAACCGCAACGGAAAAAAGCGCAACGGAAAAAAGCGCAAAACAAAAAGCGCAACGGAAATAAGCGCACACGGAAAAAAGCGCAAAGAGAAAAAAGCGCACACAGAAAAAAGCGCAAAGAGAAAAAAGCGCAAACGGAAAAAAGCGCAAAGAGAAAAAAGCGCACACAGAAAAAAGCGCAAAGAGAAAAAAGCGCAAACGGAAAAAAGCGCAAAGAGAAAAAAGCGCACACGGAAAAAAGCGCAAAGAGAAAAAAGCGCAAACAGAAAAAAGCGCAAAGAGAAAAAAGCGCACACAGAAAAAAGCGCAAACAGAAAAAAGCGCAAACGGAAAAAAGCGCAAAGTGAAAAAAGCGCAAACGGAAAAAAGCGCAAACAGAAAAAAGCGCACACGGAAAAAAGCGCAAACGGAAAAAAGCGCAAACGGAAAAAAGCGCAAACAGAAAAAAGCGCAAACGGAAAAAAGCGCAAACAGAAAAAAGCGCACACAGAAAAAAGCGCAAACAGAAAAAAGCGCAAACGGAAAAAAGCGCAAACGGAAAAAAGCGCACACAGAAAAAAGCGCAAACGGAAAAAAGCGCAAACAGAAACAGAAAAATGCGCAACTTGAAAAAACACAACGAAAAATGTGCAAAAGAGAAATTTAGCACAAAGACCATATGAACTAGATGACACATTTATACATGACTGTTAGGGCTGCTGTGAGAGTGTCGTGTTTGATCACGTGATCTACTACCATTTAAAGGAAGGGTATAATAAATGGTGTGGTTAGGAAAGTTAAGGGGTCCATTCTCTAATAGGCAATCTATGTCTCTTTCGTACTTTCGTGTTGGTTTATTGTCGAACCTGTCCTCACCTTACATCACAACAGTTGGGTGACGCTTACCGTGTAATGTTAAAATAAATAGCATGTAATTGAGTTAGTTCGAAGTGAGTTTTCATACAAGCCCAACGCACTAATTAAGGTTGTCGCAAAATGTAACATATATGTAACAAATGTCAATGATGTCAATGAATTTTCATTAAAAAAATGATGTCTAGTACAGTTTACGAAACTTACGAACTTCGCCGATACTTTTTTGGTGGGTAGTTTGGTAAGTATGTAGGCGGGTAAGTGGGTAAGTGGGTAGGTGGGTAGTTAGGTAGGTAGGTAGGTAGGTGGGTAGGTGGGTAGTAGGTAGGTAGGTAGGTGCGTCATGATGTGAAAAAATATTAAATACAAAATTGTTATTTTGGTGCGAATGAATGTTGTTACGAGAGATATGACGAATGCATGTTTGATGACGCGGATGAAAGAGAGTGAAGTTTTGCCATAGGAACGGGTTGTTATAGTATGCAAGCTAGGTAGTTCGGACTAGGGAGAATGTGAAAGATACTTCGTGTAATGTCGATAGTTGTATGTTTATACGAGAATAGTAGTTGAATAATTATTGACCAAGAAAATAATAGGCATTGTGTAAAGTGATTATCGCCTGTATCGTGGTGATGGGAATGCAGATGGTAGTGGTACGCTTTAAATGGTAGTAGATCACGTGATCACACACGACACTCTCACAGCAGCCCTAACAGTCATGTATAAATGTGTCATCTAGTCCATATGGTCTTTGTGCTAAATTTCTCTTTTGCACATTTTTCGTTGTGTTTTTTCAAGTTGCGCATTTTTCTGTTTCTGTTTGCGCTTTTTTCCGTTTGCGCTTTTTTCTGTGTGCGCTTTTTTCCGTTTGCGCTTTTTTCCGTTTGCGCTTTTTTCTTTTTGCGCTTTTTTCTGTGTGCGCTTTTTTCTGTTTGCGCTTTTTTCCGTTTGCGCTTTTTTCCGTGTGCGCTTTTTTCTGTTTGCGCTTTTTTCCGTTTGCGCTTTTTTCTCTTTGCGCTTTTTTCCGTTTGCGCTTTTTTCTGTTTGCGCTTTTTTCTGTGTGCGCTTTTTTCTCTTTGCGCTTTTTTCTGTTTGCGCTTTTTTCTCTTTGCGCTTTTTTCCGTGTGCGCTTTTTTCTGTTTGCGCTTTTTTCTGTGTGCGCTTTTTTCTCTTTGCGCTTTTTTCTGTTTGCGCTTTTTTCCGTTTGCGCTTTTTTCTCTTTGCGCTTTTTTCCGTTTGCGCTTTTTTCTGTTTGCGCTTTTTTCTGTTTGCGCTTTTTTCTGTGTGCGCTTTTTTCTCTTTGCGCTTTTTTCTGTTTGCGCTTTTTTCTCTTTGCGCTTTTTTCCGTGTGCGCTTTTTTCTCTTTGCGCTTTTTTCCGTTTGCGCTTTTTTCTCTTTGCGCTTTTTTCTGTGTGCGCTTTTTTCTCTTTGCGCTTTTTTCCGTTTGCGCTTTTTTCTCTTTGCGCTTTTTTCCGTGTGCGCTTATTTCCGTTGCGCTTTTTTATTTGCGCTTTTTTCCGTTGCGCTTTTTTCCGTTGCGGTTCTTTCTGGGAACCGAACTTTTTCTAATCTAAAAAGTTTTTTGCGTGCACAGTTTCTTTCATGCATCTCTTCTGGTAGGGGCGAAACCCTTCCCAGGTTCTTCCTTTAGTTTGTATGATCTACAAATGCGACCAGTGTTTCTTTCATACTTTTTCCTCCCCGGAGAGGGGTGGGGGTACTTGAAATTTTCGGGGTCGGGGTGAAATTTTGTGGGAGGGGGCGGACACTGGAAACAAAGTATATAATTATATTTCGTTGAATGGGACGGTATATGTGCTTTGAGGTGTGTATGTGGGGCGGGGGGGGGGGGGGGGGGGGAGGGCAAGTAGAGTCGCCTAAAAGAGACTCTAAATGCGACTTTTCTCATGATTGAGATAAGTTGGGGTATTTTTTTTAAATTTATTTACTTATTTATTCAATAACGGTAACATTAGTATCAATGTGCAGTAACTAAGTGGAGATCAAGAATAAATCCGATTAAAGTACTGATTCTGGATAAAAATCCGTTGTCATTGTCCGTTTCCGCTTAAATTGAATGAAGGTGGTGATTTTGGTTTTGGTTTAGAGAAAAGAGACAGCACTATCAACCCTAGCGCCCGTTGTATCCTTCCTCAACGGGTCATTTCTCTCGTATATATATATATATATATATATATATATATATATATATATATATATATATATATATATATATATATATATATATATATATATATATATATATATATATATATATATATTCGCTTTAAGCTAAGAGCTGCAGCTACACCTAGTTGCATGGAATTTGATGGTACTATTCTAACGCTTGCCTCACACTGCTGTACTCTTCCGTTCTCAGGGTATGCTCGATCCATCATCATTTGCGGGCTTTAATATAACATAGCACTACTGATCATCAAGACTCGTACACAGTTAAGGGTCATCCATGTATAACGTAGGGTGGTGGGGGAAGGGGGGGGGTTCGGGTCCATGCGAACGTCCACATCATGTTGAACTTAATGTCGAAGTACTAATATTTTAAAACAGACATAAAATTCGTATCCTGCATGCATCCTGTAGATTCTACTTTTGATAAAATTAGGCCTGATAATAAACACTAATTTTAGGGGTCGTCCATAATTGACGTCAGACTCGTAGAGGGGAGGTGGGGTCAGATGGTGTGACGCCACACTTTTGCATTATAAAAAGGCAATGTTAGAAAACGAGTTCTAGCCGTCATTTCGCGTTTTAGAAAACGGTTTCAATAAATTGTAGATCTAATAGGAATTGATCAAAATACTACGTTAACAGCGTTCTGACAAGATTTTGGAAAAATCTCGATGTTTTCAGAAAAATTCTACAGCAATTTTGAGGGTGGGGGGTTGTAGGGTGATGTGTGACGTCATTTTAGGGGGGGGGTCTGGCTTTTTGTGACGACGTGTATCGGAGGGAGGGGGGGGGGAAGGTAAAAATCGTAAAAAAAAAAAGCGTGACGTCACTTATGGATGACCCCATATAAAAAATACTAAATCCGTACATCCGTTATTAGGTACACAATACATGTTATTGAAATAGTAAATTGGTAGTAAGTTTTGCGTGATCTATTTATTTTTGTGGTCTTCCACACTGAAGACGCGTGTGGGCTGGAGGAGGGAGGGGGTCGGGTGGGTCTAAAATCCGAAATATTTGTAGACGTCATAAATGGATGACCCCTAACTGCAGGTCACCTGGAAAAATGAAACAAAACAATCTTCTGCTATAAGCTGTTTATTAGTTATTGAAACAACGTACAAGCAAGTGTCAATTGAGTTTTTAAATATGTGACATCTGTGGTGACAGAAGAGGAAAAACGTGAAGGCAATCAGTCAATAAACCCTCCTTCTTCCCTTAGAACTACAGTTTTAAGGGAAGTATTCCGAACTTTGAGGGAAAGCCGTGTCTGATTGAATATAACGGCAAGCGTCTGACTTCAAGTCGTCATACAGGTCCTCCAGAATGACAGGCTGAATTGAAGTTACCGAAGTACCTGGACCCTGGGGAAAAAAAAATTACGTCTGTTCTCGTGCACTGATCAATACAGCTCCCCACAGAAACGTCCAACAATTAAAAAACAAAACAAAAGAAACTGTTTTTTTTTAAAACGATCGTTTAACTCGCATACTTTTTCAGACCAGATTGTTTATGTGGCAGATGAAGTAGAGTTTCCGTTTGAAAAAACATGATCTCAGTTGCCTTTACTTTCCCCGCTGTGAGGTCCAGCCTCAGTTGTTGTCAGGAAGTCCAAGCTTTACTTTTGAGTTTGTTATACATCGATCTAGATCTGTGTACTGCCCTCTAGTGCTCGCACATTACAGATCTAAGTCCGACGTAAACAACGAAAACAAAAAAGCTACCAGATCACATTAATTTCGTTTATATTGTTTAACCCACTAAAATGCGATATAAAACCACCGAATTACAACAATAATTGTACATTTACCGACCCACTTTTATTAACGAATGCGATAAATTTACCGGAGATGTTTTTGCCGAACAACACTTAGAAGGTAGACTCCGTCCTATGGAGAACAGAAAACTACAAAACTCGCCGATAGTGATGGCGGACAGGCCTAACCACAAACCCAGCTGTCCTCCCAAGTCGCTTATCAAATTCATACTCTGAAAACATAATTGTAATAATCAAATTCATACTCTGAAAAACACAATTGTAACAATCAAATTCATACTCTGAAAAACACAATTGTAGTCATCAAATTCATTCTCTGAAAACATAATTGTAACAATCAAATTCATACTCTGAAAACACAATTGTAGTCATCAAATTCATTCTCTGAAAACATAACTGTAACAATCAAATTCATACTCTGAAAACACAATTGTAGTCATCAAATTCATACTCTGAAAACATAATTGTAATAATCAAATTCATACTCTGAAAACACAACTGTAGTCATCAAATTCATTATCTGAAAACATAATTATAATCATCCAATTCATTCTCTGAAAACACAATTGTAATAATCAAATTCATACTCTGAAAAGATAATTATAATCACCAAATTCATACTCTGAAAACATAATTGTAATCATCCAATTCATTAATTATAATCATCCAATTCATATTCCGAAAACATAATTACAATCATTAAATTCATACTCTGAAAACATAATTATAATCATGAAATACATACTCTGAAAACAATTATAATCATCCAATTCTTACTCTGAAAACATCATGTTTAACATCGAAAAATGTATCCTTATGATCATAATTTGAAAAACCACCCTCTGAAAATTTTTCTCGCCGATCTATTTCATTTAATTAATTAAATTCATGAAACTAACATTTTTACACCCTGGTTTACATCTTAAAAGTGAAAAGCGAATTTGTCTTCTACAATTTGTCTACTTCTACAATTTGTCTACTTCTACAATTTGTCTACTTCTACAATTTGTCTACTTCTACAATTTGTCTACTTTTATCAATAGGTCTATTCAACAATATATACCTATTATTCCACAACAACAGAGCTACCATATCTACAAAACTGTACTACGTCAATAGGTCTACATTTTTCTTTAACAGATGTGAGAAAAGTGGTAAGACTCTATCTATAGGAGCAGTGGTAGCCCCCCCCTCCCCCCCCCCCGTCATAAGGACAGTCGTACCTCGTAGGCTTTCTGCTGCTCAACGTGCTGGTAGATGAGATCTTGGTAGTAGATCTGGACCTTGGTGAATTCGTCTTGGCTGGAAATTAGGCAGGTGAAATATGGGCTTTTGTCATTTACACAGGGACATATGGGCTGTCAGTTACACAGGGACATATGGGCTGTCAGTTACACGATGCCAATGTGTGTACACGCACACTCTGAACTCAATGTGTGTACACACAAACGGATGTCAATGTGTGTACACACAAACTGATGTCAATGTGTGTACACACACAATCTGATATCAATGTGTGTACACACACAATCTGATATCAATGTGTGTACACACACAATCTGATGTCAATGTGTGTACACACAATCTGATGTCAATGTGTGTACACACACAATCTGATATCAATGTGTGTACACACACAATCTGATGTCAATGTGTGTACACACACAAACTGATGTCAATGTGTGTACACACACAATCTGATATCAATGTGTGTACACACACAATCTGATGTCAATGTGTGTACACACACAATCTGATGTCAATGTGTGTACACACACAAACGGATGTCAATGTGTGTACACACACAATCTGATGTCAATGTGTGTACACACACAATCTGAACTCAATGTGTGTACACACACAATCTGATGTCAATGTGTGTACACACACAAACGGATGTCAATGTGTGTACACACAATCTGATGTCGATTTGTCTACACACAAACTGATGTCAATGTGTGTACACACACAAACTGTGAAGCCACGTGACATCATGACAACAAAAAAGTGACCTCGCGTGTGTCAGTAAATGTTCATTTAGTTTCATTAAAAAAATGGGCCTACATAATTTTATTTTGTTTGATTGAGTTGTTTTTTGTAAAACTGTAAAAAGTGAGAGCAGCACAGGGGAAAGTGAAAGAAACATTCCTGAACTCACGTGTTGGCGGCCTGAATATATAACGCGTTTGTTTGACCTAGTTTTTCTCGGAGGAAATCCTGGAAAATAATTATAATTAATATCTATACCCAGCAAGACAGGTTATTATCATAAAGTATAATATATAAATATATAAATACACACACATACACACACACACACACACACATATATATATATATATATATATATATATATATATATATATATATATATACACATATATGAAAGTAAGTGTGTTTGTTCTGTTATTTGTTTTTATGCATTACTACATGGGCGTGATACTGGAAGTTGTTAAGAATAATCCTGGGAAGGTTTCTGCTTTAAAAAAAAAATTCAATTTCGGAGGGGCGGTACATGGCAGTAGAGTACCCCATCACCTGAGATCCGTTGATTGTTCGTCCAGCACAAGGGCTCAAGTGTACTACTTGATACAACGGTCAAACCGCCCGTACCTCAGCAATCGTATGACCCAGGCTTCACCATTAGCACTATGATGCCTACGTTTGCTTTAAAGATGTGGTGGACTACTGAAATCGATGACTAAATCTAACCAGGATCGTCATTTGGTACATGGGGTCCATTGATTGAGAATTTTGCAAATAGAGTCAGGGATACTTCTTGAATCAACTGTTAAACTGCAACAGGGACGCCCCTGCAGTAGTGTAATCGATGGCTCCTGAGAGCACCCAGCTATGCCCCTGACGTTTGGGCAGCCGCCGATGTGTTCTACCTCACCATTACGAGGGGAGGGGGCGGTGTTTCTTCTAGGCATCTCTTCGGGGGGGGGGGGATGAGATCTCCCTCCTCCCAGAAGAGAGGAAGAGAGACCACCACCCCCTCCCGAAAGAAATGGATTTTATATAGAAAATATATAACAATGCCCCCCCCCCCCCCGGAAATTTTAGTCCCCCCTCCCAGAAAATTTCAATTCCCCCCCCCCCCCCCCCCACCTTCCGGAGAAATAAGTCTGGAAGAAACACTGGGAGAGGGTGACCTAACAAACACTCAAAGCTTTTATACAGCACGCTCTGAGGCGTCTGGGAGGTAGTGTAGACAAACCCGCGCCCCAACTAACCCAGATCCAACAAATACAAAGCCTGTATCGTTTACATTGAAATAACTCAGATTTAGAAAATACAAAGCCTGTATCGTTTACATTGAAATAACTCAGATTTAGAAAACAAGAGAACACTATCAAATGTTCGTCATTCTGGTGTGTATGACTAGTACGACGGGTACGCTGGTCCCACTATAAAATGAATGTAGAGCCCATACAAGTCCCACTATAAATATGTTGTAGTGATACACATGTGCTCTAGCAATACAAACCTGGTACTTAGTTGAAGGCCAGCCTGCTTGTGATATCGACAATTCGTAACGAGTTTCCCTGGGAAGGTACATGGACTGGTTTGTACAATTAATTTGTTTTTAAAATGTTAAGTATATTCAACAAATTATTTTAAAATGTTTTTCAACTAAGCAAATGGAACATCTACAACGATAACATTTTACCGCGAACATATGACATCACGTAATGTGTAACAATTAATGATGATGTAACATCATCAGCAAGAGATGATAATTTAGTTATACGATCAATACAATATGTTGATAAATTTAACAATCAACGCGTGAATTAATAACATAAACATTAAGTGATATTGATAAAGCTTAAAATTAGCTGGTGAAACGGATAAAGATAAAATTACTCGTGTTATTTATAAAGATCACCTTCTGATACTGATAATATAACAAAGATCTACTCGTGTTATTTATAAAGATCACCTTCTGATACTGATAATATAACAAAGATCTACTCGTGTTATTTATAAAGATCACCTTCTGATACTGATAATATAACAAAGATCAACTCGTGTTATTTATAAAGATCACCTTCTGATACTGATAATATAAAACAAACCAACTGATGATATTGCTCAAGTTACAAACCAACTGGTGATATTGCTCAAGTTACCAGCCAAACATGAGATATTTATTTATGCCACCAATTACTTACTCGCATGGTTGAGGACATTTTTCATCACATAGCTTGTATCGCTCTGACGCGATAGATGGGAGGCTGTTGACACAGTTTTCTGTTGGTCAAATACACAACATGTCTACACGGTCAAATACTCAACATGTCCACACGGTCAAATACTCAACATGTCCACACGGTCAAATACACAACATGTCTACACGGTCAAATACACACACGGTCAAATACACAACATGCCCACACGGTCAAATACACAACATGTCTACACGGTCAAATACACAACATGTCTACACGGTCAAATACACAACATGTCTACACGGTCAAATACACAACATGTCTACACGGTCAAATACACAACATGTCCACACGGTCAAATACATAACATGTCTAAACGGTCAAATACACAACATGTCTACACACAACATGTCCACACGGTCAAATACACAACATGTCGACACGGTCAAATACACAACATGTCTACACGGTCAAATACACAACATGTCCACACGGTCAAATACATAACATGTCTAAACGGTCAAATACACAACATGTCTACACACAACATGTCCACACGGTCAAATACACAACATGTCGACACGGTCAAATACACAACATGTCTACACGGTCAAATACACAACATGTCTACACGGTTAAATACACAACATGTCTACACGGTCAAATACACAACATGTCTACACGGTCAAATACACAACATGTCTACACACACAACATGTCTACACGGTCAAATACACAACATGTCTACAGGGTCAAATACACAACATGTCTACACGGTCAAATACACAACATGTCTACAGGGTCAAATACACAACATGTCTACAGGGTCAAATACACAACATGTCTACACGGTCAAATACACAACATGTCTACACGGTCAAATACACAACATGTCTACAGGGTCAAATACACAACATGTCTACAGGGTCAAATACACAACATGTCTACACGGTCAAATACACAACATGCCTACACGGTCAAATACACAACATGCCCACACGGTCAAATACACAACATGTCTACACGGTCAAATACACAACATGTCTACACGGTCAAATACACAACATGTCTACACGGTTAAATACACAACATGTCTACACGGTCAAATACACAACATGTCTACACGGTCAAATACACAACATGTCTACACACACAACATGTCTACACGGTCAAATACACAACATGTCTACAGGGTCAAATACACAACATGTCTACACGGTCAAATACACAACATGTCTACAGGGTCAAATACACAACATGTCTACACGGTCAAATACACAACATGTCTACACGGTCAAATACACAACATGTCTACACGGTCTAATACACAACATGTCTACACACACAACATGTCTACACGGTCAAATACACAATAACACGAGAGGGCACTGGAATGTGCCTTGGCCCGAATGAAAATATACATCAAATATCTGGCAAGTAAGTTTTTAAAATTATCGCCCATTGGTAGCCGATTGTGACGCCTAAATGAAAGATCTCTCATGTAAGATCATTTATTTAAAACAAGTGTTACCTGTTTTCTCCTGGTATTATTCTCGTTAGTTCATCAATTAAGGCCCTCGAAGTGAATTTATTCATTTTGGATAATTTCAAAAGGCGTTTAATAATTAATTGGAACGGCATTTTATAATCAATACATTACTTGAAAATGAAGATAAAAATGTGCACAAGGGAGAACAAACCAACCGGTTATTGGATCCGTCATGTTGCAAATGGTCACGTTGGGAATGATGTAAAAGAAGGTCACGGCACATGCGCAGTACTCCATGATGATGTCTTGGTAGCATGACTTGAGACAAGAGAGTTTACTGTGAGAAGTGCCCAGATAGTGCACATAGTAATCCGTTGTCTTCGCTTCATACCCGCACACACCATGGGGAGGTGGTAATCGAGAGTATGACACCTGCAAGATTCAAACACATGGGGAGGTGGTAGTCGAGAGTATGACACCTGCAAGATTCAAACACATGGGGAGGTGGTAGTCGAGAGTATGACACCTGCAAGATTCAAACACATGGGGAGGTGGTAGTCGAGAGTATGACACCTGCAAGATTCAAACACATGGGGAGGTGGTAGTCGAGAGTATGACACCTGCAAAATTCAAACACATGGGGAGGTGGTAGTCGAGAGTACGATACCTGCAAGATTCAAACACATGGGGAGGCGGTAGTCGAGAGTATGACACCTGCAAGATTCAAACACACCTATTTCATACTCACCTCCACCTCTACACACATCTACACACCCCCGGAAAGTGAATTCCACTAAAGACAATACCATAGAGAGGTATGTAAACCCCAAACCTCTGGCGATCTCGCTGTTTTACAAACATCATCAGCAATATTGTAGTTTGTTATACTGTAGTTTGTTATACTGTAGTTTGTTATACTGTAGTTTGTTATACTGTAGTTTGTTATACTGTAGTTTGTTATACTGTAGTTTGTTGTACTGTAGTTTGTTTTACTGTAGTTTATTATATTGTAGTTTGTTATACTGTAGTTTGTTGTACTGTAGTTTGTTTTACTGTAGTTTATTATATTGTAGTTTGCTATACTGTAGTTTGTTGTACTGTAGTTTGTTTTACTGTAGTTTATTATATTGTAGTTTGTTATACTGTGGTTTGTTATACTGTAGTTTGTTATATTGTAGTTTGTTATACTGTAGTTTGTTATACTGTAGTTTGTTATATTGTAGTTTGTTATATTGTAGTTTGTTATACTGTAGTTTGTTGTACTGTAGTTTGTTTTACTGTAGTTTATTATATTGTAGTTTGTTATACTGTGGTTTGTTATACTGTAGTTTGTTATACTGTAGTTTGTTATACTGTAGTTTGTTATACTGTAGTTTGTTATACTGTAGTTTGTTATATTGTAGTTTGTTATACTGTAGTTTGTTATACTGTAGTTTGTTATATTGTAGTTTGTTATACTGTAGTTTGTTATACTGTAGTTTGTTATACTGTAGTTTGTTATACTGTAGTTTGTTATACTGTAGTTTGTTATACTGTAGTTTGTTATACTGTAGTTTGTTATATTGTAGTTTGTTATACTGTAGTTTGTTATACTGTAGTTTGTTATACTGTAGTTTGTTATACTGTAGTTTGTTATACTGTAGTTTGTTATACTGTAGTTTGTTATACTGTAGTTTGTTATACTGTAGTTTGTTATACTGTAGTTTGTTATACTGTAGTTTGTTATACTGTAGTTTGTTATACTGTAGTTTGTTATACTGTAGTTTGTTATACTGTAGTTTGTTATACTGTAGTTTGTTATACTGTAGTTTGTTATACTGTAGTTTGTTATACTGTAGTTTGTTATACTGTAGTTTGTTATACAGCATTCTCTCACCTGCTTTATGCCAATCGAGCTAGAGCGACCCGGTATGACCGAGATGCCCTCGTCTTCAGGGAATGGAATCGTCCCCTTCTTGTGGATGATGATGCGTGCTCCAGCCTCGCTGGCCAGATTCGCAATGTATTCTTGCTGGTTAATGAACAGCTCTAAGATCAGCCCTGAACATAAGATTATAACACATGAACAGCTACAAAATCAGCCCTGAACATAAGATTATAATACATGAACAGCTCCAAGATCAGCCCTGAACATAAGATTATAATACATGAACAGCTCCAAGATCAGCCCTCAACATAAGATTATAATACATGAACAGCTACAAAATCAGTCCTGAACGTACGATTATAATACATGAACAGCTCCAAGATCAGCCCTGAACATAAGATTATAATACATGAACAGCTCTGTGAATATGTTATGAAACTTACCCTATGTAAAACATACCGCAAGTCAACGCTGTGAATATGTTATGAAACATACCCTATGTAAATCTTTCCGCAAGTCAACGCTGTGAATATGTTATGAAACATACCCTATGTAAAACTTTCCGCAAGTCAACGCTGTGAATATGTTATGAAACATACCCTATGTAAAACTTTCCGCAAGTCAACGCTGTGAATATGTTATGAAACATACCCTATGTAAAACTTTCCGCAAGTCAACGCTGTGAATATGTTATGAAACATACCCTATGTAAAACTTACCGTATGTCGGTCCTGGGAAGCGAGTCGTCAGAGTACCTTCCACATGACGAGAATTAAACGTGTAACAGTTGCCGTATTTGTGATTGTGGAAATATGTAAAGTTCCTGCAGAAAAATAAGTTACTAGGTCTAGTTCCTTTTTTAGCGTGTGCATTGTGTCACTTTGGTACATTAATAACTGTAAATTTTTTTTATTATTATTTAATTAATGTGTTTTGTATAGTGTTTTTTTTTAGTGTCATCTTATTGCGTCAATGCTATGAAATACTTTAAATGTCGTCACACTCAAGAGTTAATTAGAAAGATAATTAGTTACATAGGTGAACAATAATATCCGCCAAACTTGCAGGAGGCGATGAAATCTTTTTTCTGATGACCCGCTGGCTCGACGGTGGAAGAATTCAATATGGCGGTGATGTACGCGTACGTCATGGTGGCCTCATACTCATCGTCTTTTGTTTGGTAGAAACTGAGGGCAGAACAGACCGTGTGTTGTTGGGACAGTTCACAAACATTCTATTGATCGTGACACTTTTGCAGCTATCATATATACATCTCTCTCGCTCTCTCTCCATATCTATCTCTTTCCCTCTCTCTGTATATTATGTATATATATATATATATATATATATATATATATATATATATATATATATATATATATATATATATATATATATACATACATATATATATATATATATATATATATATATATCCCATGGATCCCTTGTGGGACCACACCTCTCCATCGTTCTCTGTTTCGGACGATTCCTTTAAGTTGTGCCCATTCCGGCTGCTTCTGCTTCAACGACAGTTTGTTTTAGCCTACCTACTTTTCTCTTTCTTTGGAGATTCCCGTATTGCGCCTGTCTGGTGATGTTGCTTGTTGGTTTACTCAAGGTGTGTCCAATTCATCCCCATTTTACGCTTTGTATTTCTTTGCCAATGGGTCCTCTCAGTTTTTCTAAGCATTTCGGCATTGTAATTTGTTTTCCTTAAACCTGATATTCAATATGAGGCGGAGGCATCTGTTAATAAAAGTCGGATGTTTTTAGTTTTTGTTATTCTCCACAAATAAGAGAACAGATTTCAGATTGCTGTTATACAGTCCTATTTGGAAAGATTAGACAGTGCTGTCGATGTCCATGTGGTGCGGAAGATGTTGGATGTGTACTTGACCTTGTTAATACAGTTTTTGATGTCCTCATTTGTTCCCCCATCCTTGTTTACTACACTTCCAAGATACGTGAAGAGATCCACCTCAGAAATAGTCATCTCTTGCATCTAGAGTTCAACATGTCCCATCTACCTGCCGGCTCCACTAGTGTTCAACATGTCCCGTCTACCTGCCGGCTCCACTAGAGTTCAACATGTCCCATCTACCTGCCGGCTGCCGGCTCTACTAGTGTTCAACATGTCCCATCTACCTGCCGGCTTCACTAGAGTTCAACATGTCCCATCTGCCTGCCGGCTCCACTTGAGTTCAACATGTCACATCTACCTGCCGGCTGCCGGCTCCACTAGTGTTCAACATGTCCTATCTACCTGCCGGCTCCACTAGAGTTCAACATGTCCCATCTACCTGCCGGCTCCACTAGAGTTCAACATGTCCCATCTACCTGCCGGCTCCACTAGAGTTCAACATGTCCCATCTACCTGCCGGCTCCACTAGTGTTCAACATGTCCTATCTACCTGCCGGCTCCACTAGTGTTCAACATGTCCTATCTACCTGCCGGCTCCACTAGTGTTCAACATGTCCCATCTACCTGCCGGCTCCACTAGAGTTCAACATGTCCCATCTACCTGCCGGCTGCCGGCTCCACTAGTGTTCAACATGTCCCATCTACCTGCCGGCTGCCGGCTCCACTAGTGTTCAACATGTCCCATCTACCTGCCGGCTGCCGGCTCCACTAGTGTTCAACATGTCCCATCTACCTGCCGGCTCCACTAGAGTTCAACATATCCCATCTACCTGCCGGCTCCACTAGAGTTCAACATGTCCCATCTACCTGCCGGCTCCACTAGTGTTCAACATGTACCATCTACCTGCCGGCTCCACTAGTGTTCAACATGTCCCATCTACCTGCTGGCTCCACTAGAGTTCAACATGTCCCATCTACCTGCCGGCTCCACTAGTGTTCAACATGTCCTATCTACCTGCCGGCTCCACTAGTGTTCAACATGTCCCATCTACCTGCCGGCTCCACTAGAGTTCAACATGTCCCATCTACCTGCCGGCTCCACTAGAGTTCAACATGTCCCATCTACCTGCCGGCTGCCGGCTCCACTAGGGTTCAACATGTCCCATTTACCTGCCGGCTGCCGGCTCCACTAGTGTTCAACATGTCCCATCTACCTGCCGGCTCCACTAGTGTTCAACATGTCCCATCTACCTGCCGGCTCCACTAGTGTTCAACATGTCCCATCTACCTGCCGGCTCCACTAGAGTTCAACATGTCCCATCTGCCTGCCGGCTCCACTAGTGTTCAACATGTCCTATCTACCTGCCGGCTCCACTAGTGTTCAACATGTCCCATCTACCTGCCGGCTCCACTAGAGTTCAACATGTCCCATCTACCTGCCGGCTCCACTAGAGTTCAACATGTCCCATCTACCTGCCGGCTCCACTAGTGTTCAACATGTCCCATCTGCCTGCCGGCTCCACTAGTGTTCAACATGTCCTATCTACCTGCCGGCTCCACTAGTGTTCAACATGTCCCATCTACCTGCCGGCTCCACTAGAGTTCAACATGTCCCATCTACCTGCCGGCTCCACTAGAGTTCAACATGTCCCATCTACCTGCCGGCTGCCGGCTCCACTAGGGTTCAACATGTCCCATTTACCTGCCGGCTGCCGGCTCCACTAGTGTTCAACATGTCCCATCTACCTGCCGGCTCCACTAGTGTTCAACATGTCCCATCTACCTGCCGGCTCCACTAGAGTTCAACATGTCCCATCTGCCTGCCGGCTCCACTAGTGTTCAACATGTCCTATCTACCTGCCGGCTCCACTAGAGTTCAACATGTCCTATCTACCTGCCGGCTCCACTAGAGTTCAACATGTCCTATCTACCTGCCGGCTCCACTAGTGTTCAACATGTCCCATCTACCTGCCGGCTCCACTTGAGTTCAACATGTCACATCTACCTGCCGGCTGCCGGCTCCACTAGTGTTCAACATGTCCTATCTACCTGCCGGCTCCACTAGAGTTCAACATGTCCCATCTACCTGCCGGCTCGACTAGAGTTCAAAATGTCCCATCTACCTGCCGGCTCCACTAGTGTTCAACATGTCCCATCTACCTGCCGGCTCCACAAGAGTTTAACATGTCCCATCTACCTGCCGGCTCCACTAGAGTTCAACATGTCCCATCTACCTGCCGGCTCCACTAGAGTTCAACATGTCCCATCTACCTGCCGGCTCCACTAGAGTTCAACATGTCCCATCTACCTGCTGGCTCCACTAGTGTTCAACATGTCCTATCTATCTGCCGGCTCCACTAGTGTTAAACATGTCCTATCTACCTGCCGGCTCCACTAGTGTTCAACATGTCCTATCTACCTGCCGGCTCCACTAGAGTTCAACATGTCCCATCTACCTGCCGGCTCCACTAGTGTTCAACATGTCCTATCTACCTGCCGGCTCCACTAGTGTTCAACATGTCCCATCTACCTGCCGGCTCCACTAGAGTTCAACATGTCCAATCTACCTGCCGGCTCCACTAGAGTTCAACATGTCCCATCTACCTGCCGGCTGTCGGCTCCACTAGGGTTCAACATGTCCCATTTACCTGCCGGCTGCCGGCTCCACTAGTGTTCAACATGTCCCATCTACCTGCCGGCTCCACTAGTGTTCAACATGTCTCATCTACCTGCCGGCTCCACTACACTTCAACATGTCCCATCTACCTGCCGGCTCCACTAGTGTTCAACATGTCCCATCTACCTGCCGGCTCCACTAGAGTTCAACATGTCCCATCTACCTGCCGGCTCCACTAGAGTTCAAAATGTCCCATCTACCTGCCGGCTCCACTAGAGTTCAACATGTCCCATCTACCTGCCGGCTCCACTAGAGTTCAACATGTCCCATCTACCTGCCGGCTGCCGGCTCCACTAGTGTTCAACATGTCCCATCTACCTGCCGGCTGCCGGCTCCACTAGTGTTCAACATGTCCCATCTACCTGCCGGCTCCACTAGTGTTCAACATGTCCCATCTACCTGCCGGCTCCACTAGAGTTCAACATGTCCCATCTACCTGCCGGCTCCACTAGTGTTCAACATGTCCCATCTACCTGCCGGCTGCCGGTTCCACTAGTGTTCAACATGTCCCATCTACCTGCCGGCTCCACTAGGGTTCAACATGTCCCATCTACCTGCTGGCTGCCGGCTCCACTAGTGTTCAACATGTCCCATCTACCTGCCGGCTCCACAAGAGTTCAACATGTCACATCTACCTGCCGGCTCCACTAGTGTTCAACATGTCACATCTACCTGCCGGCTGCCGGATCCACTAGTGTTCAACATGTCCCATCTACCTGCCGGCTCCACTAGAGTTCAACATGTCTCATCTACCTGCCGGCTCCACTAGAGTTCAACATGTCACATCTACCTGCCGGCTGCCGGCTCCACTAGTGTTCAACATGTCCCATCTACCTGCCGGCTCCACTAGTGTTAAACATGTCCCATCTACCTGCCGGCTCCACAAGAGTTCAGCATGTCCCATCTACCTGCCGGCTGCCGGCTCCACTAGTGTTCAACATGTCCCATCTACCTGCCGGCTCCACTAGTGTTCAACATGTCCCATCTACCTGCCGGCTCCACTAGTGTTCAACATGTCACATCTACCTGCCGGCTCCACTAGTGTTCAACATGTCACATCTACCTGCCGGCTGCCGGCTCCACTAGAGTTCAACATGTCCCATCTGCCTGCCGGCTCCACTAGTGTTCAACATGTCCCATCTACCTGCCGGCTCCACTAGAGTTCATCATGTCACATCTACCTGCCGGCTCCACTAGTGTTCAACATGTCCCATCTACCTGCCGGCTCCACTAGTGTTAAACATGTCCCATCTACCTGCCGGCTCCACTAGAGTTCAACATGTCCCATCTACCTGCCGGCTGCCGGCTCCACTAGGGTTCAACATGTCCCATCTACCTGCCGGCTGCCGGCTCCACTAGTGTTCAACATGTCCCATCTACCTGCCGGCTCCACTAGTGTTCAACATGTCCCATCTACCTGCCGGCTCCACTAGAGTTCAACATGTCCCATCTACCTGCCGGCTCCACTAGTGTTCAACATGTCCCATCTACCTGCCGGCTCCACTAGTGTTCAACATGTCCCATCTACCTGCCGGCTCCACTAGAGTTCAACATGTCCCATCTACCTACCGGCTCCACTAGTGTTCAACATGTCCCATCTACCTGCCGGCTCCACAAGAGTTCAACATGTCACATCTACCTGCCGGCTCCACTAGTGTTCAACATGTCACATCTACCTGCCGGCTGCCGGATCCACTAGTGTTCAACATGTCCCATCTACCTGCCGGCTCCACTAGAGTTCAACATGTCCCATCTACCTGCCGGCTCCACTAGAGTTCAACATGTCACATCTACCTGCCGGCTCCACTAGTGTTCAACATGTCACATCTACCTGCCGGCTGCCGGCTCCACTAGAGTTCAACATGTCCCATCTGCCTGCCGGCTCCACTAGTGTTCAACATGTCACATCTACCTGCCGGCTCCACTAGTGTTCAACATGTCCTATCTACCTGCCGGCTCCACTAGTGTTCAACATGTCCCATCTACCTGCCGGCTCCACTAGTGTTCAACATGTCCCATCTACCTGCCGGCTCCACTAGTGTTCAACATGTCCCATCTACCTGCCGGCTCCACTAGTGTTCAACATGTACCATCTACCTGCCGGCTCCACTAGTGTTCAACATGTCCCATCTACCTGCCGGCTCCACTAGTGTTCAACATGTCCCATCTACCTGCCGGCTCCACTAGTGTTCAACATGTCCCATCTACCTGCCGGCTCCACTAGAGTTCAACATGTCCTATCTACCTGCCGGCTTCACTAGAGTTCAACATGTCCCATCTACCTGCCGGCTCTACTAGTGTTCAACATGTCCCATCTACCTGCCGGCTCCACTAGTGTTCAACATGTCCCATCTACCTGCCGGCTCTACTAGTGTTCAACATGTCCCATCTACCTGCCGGCTCCACTAGTGTTCAACATGTCCCATCTACCTGCCGGCTCCACTAGTGTTCAACATGTCACATCTACCTGCCGGCTGCCGGTTCCACTAGTGTTCAACATGTCCCATCTACCTGCCGGCTCCACTAGGGTTCAACATGTCCTATCTACCTGCCGGCTTCACTAGTGTTCAACATGTCCCATCTACCTGCCAGCTCCACTAGTGTTCAACATGTCCCATCTACCTGCCGGCTCCACTAGTGTTCAACATGTCACATCTACCTGCCGGCTGCCGGCTCCACTAGTGTTCAACATGTCCCATCTACCTGCCGGCTCCATTAGTGTTCAACATGTCACATCTACCTGCCGGCTCCACTAGTGTTCAACATGTCCCATCTACCTGCCGGCTCCACTAGAGTTCAACATGTCCCATCTACCTGCCGGCTCCACTAGTGTTCAACATGTCCCATCTACCTGCCGGCTCCACTAGTGTTCAACATGTCCCATCTACCTGCCGGCTCCACTAGAGTTCAACATGTCCCATCTACCTACCGGCTCCACTAGTGTTCAACATGTCCCATCTACCTGCCGGCTCCACTAGAGTTCAACATGTCCTATCTACCTGCCGGCTCCACTAGAGCTCAACATGTCCTATCTACCTGCCGGCTTCACTAGAGTTCAACATGTCCCATCTACCTGCCGGCTCCACTAGTGTTCAACATGTCCTATCTACCTGCCGGCTCCACTAGTGTTCAACATGTCCCATCTACCTGCCGGCTCCACTAGAGTTCAACATGTCCCATCTACCTGCCGGCTCCACTAGTGTTCAACATGTCACATCTACCTGCCGGCTGCCGGTTCCACTAGTGTTCAACATGTCCCATCTACCTGCCGGCTCCACTAGGGTTCAACATGTCCTATCTACCTGCCGGCTTCACTAGTGTTCAACATGTCCCATCTACCTGCCGGCTCCACTAGTGTTCAACATGTCCCATCTACCTGCCGGCTTCACTAGTGTTCAACATGTCCCATCTACCTGCCGGCTCCACTAGTGTTCAACATGTACCATCTACCTGCCGGCTCCACTAGTGTTCAACATGTCCCATCTACCTGCCGGCTGCCGGCTCCACTAGAGTTCAACATGTCCCATCTACCTGCCGGCTCCACTAGTGTTCAACATGTCCCATCTACCTGCCGGCTCCACTAGTGTTCAACATGTCCCATCTACCTGCCGGCTCCACTAGTGTTCAACATGTCCTATCTACCTGCCGGCTCCACTAGAGTTCAACATGTCCCATTTTGTGAAGGTGGAGTTACTGAGAAGCTTGGACCAGTCCACGGCGATGCTCGACTTGTCGGTACCGCTCATTCTCTGGGCAGCTTGTCTTTTTCTTCTGGTAACCTGCGTGGGTCCTAGGACGATATTAGGTCATTAGAAGAAGACTTTAACACAGTACAGTTATGTAGGCAGTTACATGATGGTATGTCACTTCAATAAGACTTTTACACAGTTATGTAGGCACTACATTCGTGATCTAAGCTTTACAGCTGATCAAATATAGTAATGAGCCAGAGATGGAAGGTAATAAAAGACAGGAAGAATATTGACGTAACCATCAGCCTTGACCTACATATCAAAGGTCAACCGACAACCCAAGTGAGCAGCTACAGGAAACAGGCCAGAGTTCCTCACGTAGTAGTTGTAACGTACACAGTACCACAAGAGAGCAGCAACAGGAACATACTTTCTTCTAGGCATCTCTTCGGGGTGGGGAGGGGGGGGGACCTTAGCTCCCCCGAAAAAATTCTACCGCCCCCCCCCCCAACGAAATGAAATTTATATAATTTATATAGAAAATATATACTTATACCAGTGTCCGCCCCCTCGAAGAAAGTCTACCGCCCCCCCCCCCCGAAAATTCCAAGTGCCCCCCCCCCCCCCGGAAGAAAAAGTCTGGAAGAAACACTGAACAGGAAACAGGCCAGAGAGTTCCTCACGTACACAGTAGCACTTACCTGCTTGCTGTCTACTCCCAGTCTTTTGGAACTCGCGATAACTCCTGTATAATTCATTGATGACTTTCTCCTTATGGCCATCTCGGCTTATCATTGTTAAAAGCTTTTGTCTTAACTTTTCAGGCAACTGCATCTGCGAAGTACATCTTCTCATCACATTTGTCTTACGTTTTCGTCTCATTACATTTGGTCTATACACGTTGAGGCCATCAAATATTTGGTCTACAATCTACCATTGTTATACCAGCTTTAATATTTTTTACCTGCTTTTTTGGCAACCCAGAAACAATTTTCGCTTCACGTTTTCTTCTGCCAGATTTCGGGGGCGCGGTCGTCTGATGGGTGCTTTGATCACTCGAGGTCACTTGCATTGTAGTGCCAATACTGCTGGTCGAGTTTGAGCTTACTGTCACAATAATTTATTGTTTGTTTAATTTTCTGTCACAATAATGTATTGCTATTTTAATTAACTGTCACAATAATTTATTGCTAGTTAAATTTTCTTTCACAGTAATTTATTGGTAGTTTAATTAACTGTCACAATAATTTAATGTTAGTTTAATTAACTGTCAAAATAATTTAATGTTAGTTTAATTTACTGTCACAATAATTTATTGCTATTTAATTTACTGTCACAATAATTTATTGTTTGTTTAATTTTCTGTCACAATAATTTATTGCTATTTTAATTAACTGTCACAATAATTTATTGTTATTTTAATTAACTGTCACAATAATTTATTGTTTGTTTAATTAACTGTCACAATAATTTATTGTTTGTTTAATTTTCTGTCACAATAATGTATTGCTATTTTAATTAACTGTCACAATAATTTATTGCTAGTTAAATTTTCTGTCACAATAATTTATTGGTAGTTTAATTAACTGTCACAATAATTTAATGTTAGTTTAATTAACTGTCAGAATAATTTAATGTTAGTTTAATTAACTGTCACAATAATTTATTGCTATTTGATTAACGGTCACAATAATTTATTGTTTGTTTAATTTTCTGTCACAATAATTTATTGCTATTTTAATTAACTGTCACAATAATTTATTGTTATTTTAATTAACTGTCACAATAATTTATTGTTTGTTTAATTAACTGTCACAATAATTTATTGTTTGTTTAATTTTCTGTCACAATAATGTATTGCTATTTTAATTAACTGTCACAATAATTTATTGCTAGTTAAATTTTCTGTCACAATAATTTATTGGTAGTTTAATTAACTGTCACAATAATTTAATGTTAGTTTAATTAACTGTCAGAATAATTTAATGTTAGTTTAATTAACTGTCACAATAATTTATTGCTATTTGATTAACGGTCACAATAATTTATTGTTTGTTTAATTTTCTGTCACAATAATTTATTGCTATTTTAATTGTCACAATAATTTATTGTTTGTTTAATTTACTGTCACAATAATTTATTGCTAGTTTAATTAACTGTCACAATAATTTATTGCTAGTTTAATTAACTGTCACAATAATATTTTCTTACTCCAGCTATGGTCAGCACTGATGTAAAAAATAGGTCTTCCAAGGTCTGCACTCAGTGGCGTAGCGAGGTCGGGTGTCACCTGGTGCGGCACTTAATGGTGTCACCCCCCAGAGGTGTAGCGACCCTTCCCGGCACTCGGGGACAAACCTTCAATTTTCCATTTGCACCCCCTCTCAAACTTTCGATTTGCACACCCCCTCAAATGTTCGATTTGCACACCCCCCTTCCCTCCACCCTTGTCGGTATTTGTCAAATTTGCTCTTAAAAGACTTTTTAACACTCGAATTAATCACTTAATTAGTGGAATTATCATTTTTCTCTATATATTTTGCTATTTTTTGCCTTGGTGTCACCCCCCTAAATGGTGTCACCCGGTGCGGTCCGCACCCCCCCCCCCTCGCTACGCCACTGCCTGCACTAGAGGTATAACAATGAACATATGGTATGTAACAGGCAGAACACTCAATATATGGTCAATGCTGGAATTATATTAAAGGGTTAGTTCTAGGGCTAACTAAAGTTAGGGTAAGATTGAGAGGTTCAATAATAGCTGGATACAAGGACGGGGGTCGGGTTAGGGAGAAAGGATAGAATGGTTAAGGAGAATTATATTTAGCTGTCAATTAAACACCTCATAACGAATTAAAAAAAAAATTAAACGCTGCCAAAACGAATGTACGTGATAATGTGGGATTTTAGCAATGCTTTAAGAAAAGCGAACTATGTATAAATAGCGAAGTATATATTAAAGTGATGCTAACTATCAATGATAACTAAAGAAAACATTCTATAATAAATAAACCAAACTATCTATGATAAGTAAAGTAATTATATATGGCAATAAAGCAAATATCTATGATAAGGAAAGCAATTTTCTATGATTTAAACATCAATTATCTATGATATGAAAAGCAATTATCTATGATATGAAAGGCAATCATCTATGAAATCAAAAGCGAAGTAAATGCAATAAGAAAAGCAAAGTGCACATTATACAATCATATCAAGTTGTTACTCAAAACCTTAATTAACTCGCGTGTTAGAAGCGGCAGGATACTGTCACAAGTTGTCTTACATCTGACACAATTTGTCTGACATCTGTCACAAATTATCTGACATCTGTCACAAATGGTCTTACATTTGTCACACATTGTCTTACATATGTCAAACATTGTCTTACATCTGTCATAAATTGTCTTACATCTGTCACTAATTGTCTTACATCTGTCACTAATTGTCTTACATCTGTCACAAATTGTCTTACATCTGTCACAAATTGTCTGACATCTGTCACAAATTGTCTGACATCTGTCACAAGTTGTCTTACATCTGTCACAAATTGTCTTACATCTGTCACAAACTGTCTTACATATGTCACAATTGATCTCATCCTCCCCATCGCTGCAATCATCAAAGTGATCGCACTTGAAAACTTGTGGGATACACAGTCCTGTACTGTTGCACTTAAACCCTTTGCACTCCGCTGCTGGATACAAGGACGGGGGTCGGGGTTTGGGGTAGGGAGAAATGATTGAGTGGGGAAGGAGAATCATATTTAGCTGTCAATTAAACACCTCAAAACGAATTAAAAAAAAAAAATTAAACGCTGTGAAATCTGATGTACACATTGAACTCCGTGGAAAGCGGAACACATTCTCCTATATAGTGTGGCAAAATCTACGCTAGCATGTCCATGCAATGGTCAGATGACAAAACCAATGTCTATACGCCAGCAGCAAGTCACTCAATAAAATATGTTATCCGAGTTGAGGCACAAGTTTGTTTGAATGAGTCCACGTTCACTAGCAGAACAACAGTCACCAGCAGTAGCTTAAATGTGCAGTCTTAATGTGCAGCTTTAATGTGCAGCTTTAATGTGCAGCCTTAATGTGCAGCCTAAAGGTATAGCTTGAATGTGCAACTTTAAAGTGAAGCGTTGTATGTAGTTTTAATGTGCCGCCCTAATATGCAGCGGTAGTGTGCAACCTTTATTTGCAGCCTTATAATTCATACAATGTGAACTACCCTACAAGAGAAATAAATATGATTCGCCTAGCGCTAGCTCGGTGATCTCAAACAAACACGTTTTGAATTAATCAGCAATAATTTTTTTTTAATCATCTCGAAAGGAAATATAAACACGCCATTTTTTCTCATCATAAAATGGGAGAAAGGGCGAGTTCTGAGATAAATTATAGGACTCCTGATATAAACCAATGAGTTAAGTAATACGACGCCTGTTTATAAACCAATGAGTTAAGTCATACGACGCCTGTTATAAACCAATGAGTTAAGTCATACGACGCCTGTTATAAACCAATGAGTTAAGTCATACGACGCCTGTTATAAACAAATTAGTTAAGTCATACGATACCTGTTATAAACCAATGAGTTAAGTCATACGACGCCTGTTATAAACCAATGAGTTAAGTCATACGGCGCTTGTTATAAACCAATGAGTTAAGTCATACGACGCCTGTTATAAACCAATGAGTTAAGTCATACGACGCCTGTTATAAACCAATGAGTTAAGTCATACGACGCCTGTATTAAACCAATGAGTTAAGTCATACGACGCCTGTTATAAACCAATGAGTTAAGTCATACGACGCCTGTTGTAAAGCAACCAAGTAGATACTACCTGGACAGTCTAACTTACACCCAAGTAGATCCTACCTGGACAGTCTAACTTACACTCAAGTAGATCCTACCTGGACAGTCTAACTTACACCCAAGTAGATCCTACCTGGACAGTCTAACTTACACCCAAGTAGATCCTACCTGGACAGTCTAACCAGGAATCAAGTAGATCCTACCTGGACAGTCTAACTTACACCCAAGTAGATCCTACCTGGACAGTCTAACTTACACCCAAGTAGATCCTACCTGGACAGTCTAACTTACACCCAAGTAGATCCTACCTGGACAGTCTAACTAGGAATCAAGTAGATCCTACCTGGACAGTCTAACTTACACCCAAGTAGATCCTACCTGGACAGTCTAACTAGGAATCAAGTAGATCCTACCTGGACAGTCTAACTAGGAATCAAGTAGATCCTACCTGGACAGTCTAACTTACACCCAAGTAGATCCTACCTGGACAGTCTAATTAGGAATCAAGTAGATCCTACCTGGACAGTCTAACTTACACCCAAGTAGATCCTACCTGGACAGTCTAACTAGGAATCAAGTAGATCCTACCTGGACAGTCTAACTTACACCCAAGTAGATCCTACCTGGACAGTCTAACTAGGAATCAAGTAGATCCTACCTGGACAGTCAAACTTACACCCAAGTAGATCCTACCTGGACAGTCTAACTTACACTCAAGTAGATCCTACCTGGACAGTCTAACTTACACCCAAGTAGATCCTACCTGGACAGTCTAACTTACACCCAAGTAGATCCTACCTGGACAGTCTAACTAGGAATCAAGTAGATCTTACCTGGACAGTCTAACTTACACCCAAGTAGATCCTACCTGGACAGTCTAACTTACACCCAAGTAGATCCTACCTGGACAGTCTAACTTACACCCAAGTAGATCCTACCTGGACAGTCTAACTTACACCCAAGTAGATCCTACCTGGACAGTCTAACCAGGAATCAAGTAGATCCTACCTGGACGGTCTAACTTACACCCAAGTAGATTCTACCTGGACAGTCTAACTAGGAATCAAGTAGATCCTACCTGGACAGTCTAACTTACACCCAAGTAGATCCTACCTGGACAGTCTAACTTACACCCAAGTAGATCCTACCTGGACAGTCTAACTTACACCCAAGTAGATCCTACCTGGACAGTCTAACTAGGAACCAAGTAGATCCTACCTGGACAGTCTAACTAGGAATCAAGTAGATCCTACCTGGACAGTCTAACTTACACCCAAGTAGATCCTACCTGGACAGTCTAACTAGGAATCAAGTAGATCCTACCTGGACAGTCTAACTTACACCCAAGTAGATCCTACCTGGACAGTCTAACTTACACCCAAGTAGATCCTACCTGGACAGTCTAACTTACACCCAAGTAGATCCTACCTGGACAGTCTAACTTACACCCAAGTAGATCCTACCTGGACAGTCTAACTTACACCCAAGTAGATCCTACCTGGACAGTCTAACTAGGAATCAAGTAGATCATACCTGGACAGTCTAACTAGGACTCAAGTAGATCCTACCTGGACAGTCTAACTTACACTCAAGTAGATCCTACCTGGACAGTCTAACTTACACTTAAGTAGATCCTACCTGGACAGTCTAACTTACACCCAAGTAGATCCTACCTGGACAGTCTTACTAGGAATCAAGTAGATCCTACCTGGACAGTCTAACTAGGAATCAAGTAGATCCTACCTGGACAGTCTTTTTCGTCTTCCCCATGCAAGCAGTCAGTCAAGGAGTCACACAGCCAAGTGGAGGGGATGCAGCGGCTGGTGTTACACCGGAAGTAGTTCTCTGGACAAGCGACACCTAGCGGGAAATTATTCTACTTTCATTTCACTGGTAAAACATACGCTATGTGACACCCATAGAAATGTAATGCTGTCTATGTGACACCCATAGAATTGTAATGCTGTCTATGTGATACCCCATAGAATTGTAATGTTGTCTATATGATACCCCATATAATTGTAATGATACCCATAGAAATGTAATGTTGTCTATGTGATACCCCATACAAGTATAATGCTGTCTATGCTAGCATTATTTACAACGACTGTCTGTCAACTTACCTGTGCAGTTCTCTTCATCTTGGCTGTCCGGACAGTCGTTCTGTCCGTCACAAAAACTTTCCAGCGCCAAACATCTGTCCGCTGAGCACTTTCTCTTACCGGCCGGACAAATATAATCTGCAGGAGAGACGAGAAGTCTTTTAAGGTCTGCCTCTAACTGGCTTAAATCAATTTAAATGTGCTTCATGTTTTTGCTAATAAAGTCAGGTCTATTGGATAATACACAATGGGCTAGAACATAGATAACTGGACATTACACAATGGACTAGAACATAGACAGTTGGACATTACACAATGGGCTAGAGCAGAGACGATTGGACATTACACAATGGGCCAGAACATAGTTGGGCATTACACATTGGGCTAGAACATAGTTGGACATTACACAATGGGCTAGAACATAGTTGGACATTACACAATGGGCTAGAACAAAAACAGTTGGACATTACACAATGGGCTAGAACATAGTTGGGCATTACACAATGGGCTAGAACAAAAACAGTTGGACATTACACAATGGGCTAGAACATAGTTGGGCATTACACAATGGGCTAGAACATAGTTGGACATTACACAATGGGCTAGAACATAGACAGTTGGACATTACACAATGGGCTAGAACATAGACAGTTGGACATTATACAATGGGCTAGAACATAGTTGGACATTACACAATGGGCTAGAACATAGACAGTTGGACATTACACAATGGGCTAGAACATAGACAGTTGGGCATTACACAATGGGCTAGAACATAGACAGTTGGACATTACACAATGGGCTAGAACATAGTTGGGCATTACACAATGGGCTAGAACATAGACAGTTGGACATTACACAATGGGCTAGAACATAGTTGGACATTACACAATGGGCTAGAACATAGTTGGGCATTACACAATGGGCTAGAACATAGACAGTTGGACATTACACAATGGGCTAGAACATAGTTGGACATTACACAATGGGCTAGAACATAGTTGGACATTACACAATGGGCTAGAACATAGTTGGACATTACACAATGGGCTAGAACAAAAACAGTTGGACATTACACAATGGGCTAGAACATAGACAGTTGGACGTTACACAATGGGCTAGAACATAGTTGGACATTACACAATGGGCTAGAACATAGACAGTTGGACATTATACAATGGGCTAGAACATAGTTGGACATTACACAATGGGCTAGAACATAGACAGTTGGACATTACACAATGGGCTAGAACATAGACAGTTGGGCATTACACAATGGGCTAGAACATAGACAGTTGGACATTACACAATGGGCTAGAACATAGTTGGGCATTACACAATGGGCTAGAACATAGACAGTTGGACATTACACAATGGGCTAGAACATAGTTGGACATTACACAATGGGCTAGAACATAGTTGGGCATTACACAATGGGCTAGAACATAGACAGTTGGACATTACACAATGGGCTAGAACATAGTTGGACATTACACAATGGGCTAGAACATAGTTGGACATTACACAATGGGCTAGAACATAGTTGGACATTACACAATGGGCTAGAACAAAAACAGTTGGACATTACACAATGGGCTAGAACATAGACAGTTGGACGTTACACAATGGGCTAGAACATAGTTGGACATTACACAATGGGCTAGAACATAGTTGGACATTACACAATGGGCTAGAACATAGTTGGACATTACACAATGGGCTAGAACATAGACAGTTGGACATTACACAATGGGCTAGAACATAGTTGGACATTATACAATGGGCTAGAACATAGTTGGACATTACACAATGGGCTAGAACATAGTTGGACATTACACAATGGGCTAGAACATAGTTGGACATTATACAATGGGCTAGAACATAGTTGGACATTACACAATGGGCTAGAACAAAAACAGTTGGACATTACACAATGGGCTAGAACATAGTTGGGCATTACACAATGGGCTAGAACATAGTTGGGCATTACACAATGGGCTAGAACATAGTTGGACATTACACAATGGGCTAGAACATAGACAGTTGGACATTACACAATGGGCTAGAACATAGACAGTTGGACATTACACAATGGGCTAGAACATAGTTGGACATTACACAATGGGCTAGAACATAGACAGTTGGACATTACACAATGGGCTAGAACATAGACAGTTGGGCATTACACAATGGGCTAGAACATAGACAGTTGGACATTACACAATGGGCTAGAACATAGTTGGGCATTACACAATGGGCTAGAACATAGACAGTTGGACATTACACAATGGGCTAGAACATAGTTGGGCATTACACAATGGGCTAGAACATAGACAGTTGGACGTTACACAATGGGCTAGAACATAGTTGGACATTACACAATGGGCTAGAACATAGTTGGACATTACACAATGGGCTAGAACATAGACAGTTGGACATTACACAATGGGCTAGAACATAGTTGGACATTATACAATGGGCTAGAACATAGTTGGACATTACACAATGGGCTAGAACATAGTTGGACATTACACAATGGGCTAGAACATAGTTGGACATTATACAATGGGCTAGAACATAGTTGGACATTACACAATGGGCTAGAACAAAAACAGTTGGACAGTACACAATGGGCTAGAACATAGTTGGGCATTATACAATGGGCTAGAACATAGTTGGGCATTACACAATGGGCTAGAACATAGTTGGGCATTACACAATGGGCTAGAACATAGTTGGACATTATACTATGGGCTAGAACAGGGGTCTCCAAACTACGGCCCGCGGGCCGGATGCGGCCCGCGAGGTCCTTTCATCCGGCCCGCAGAGATCTCTTTGTCTTCAGAAAATATGTTTGTTGATGATGGCTGAGGAACTTGCCCAGAAAAATCAAAGACATGCCTGAAAGAAACTGGCCCCCGAACTGAAATTTGATAGTTAATGCGGCCCTCGGACTGAAAAGTTTGGAGACCCCTGGGCTAGAACATAGTTGGACATTACACAATGGGCTAGAACATAGACAGTTGGACATTACACAATGGGCTAGAACATAGTTGGACATTACACAATGGGCTAGAACATAGACAGTTGGACATTACACAATGGGCTAGAACTTAGACAGTTGGACATTACACAATGGGCTAGAACTTAGACAGTTGGACATTACACAATGGGCTAGAACATAGACAGTTGGGCATTACACAATGGGCTAGAACACAGTTGGACATTACACAATGGGCTAGAACATAGTTGGACATTACACAATGGGCTAGAACATAGTTGGGCATTACACAATGGGCTAGAACATAGTTGGACATTACACAATGGGCTAGAACATAGTTGGACATTACACAATGGGCTAGAACAAAAACAGTTGGACATTACACAATGGGCTAGAACATAGACAGTTGGACATTACACAATGGGCTAGAACATAGTTGGACATTACACAATGGGCTAGAACATAGTTGGACATTACACAATGGGCTAGAACATAGTTGGGCATTACACAATGGGCTAGAACATAGTTGGGCATTACACAATGGGCTAGAACATAGTTGGACATTACACAATGGGCTAGAACATAGACAGTTGGACATTATACAATGGGCTAGAACATAGTTGGACATTACACAATGGGCTAGAACATAGTTGGACATTACACAATGGGCTAGAACATAGTTGGGCATTACACAATGGGCTAGAACATAGTTGGACATTACACAATGGGCTAGAACATAGTTGGACATTACACAATGGGCTAGAACATAGACAGTTGGACATTATACAATGGGCTAGAACATAGTTGGACATTACACAATGGGCTAGAACATAGTTGGACATTACACAATGGGCTAGAACATAGTTGGACATTACACAATGGGCTAGAACATAGACAGTTGGACATTATACAATGGGCTAGAACATAGTTGGACATTACACAATGGGCTAGAACATAGTTGGGCATTACACAATGGGCTAGAACTTAGACAGTTGGACATTATACAATGGGCTAGAACATAGTTGGATATTACACAATGGGCTAGAACATAGTTGGACATTACACAATGGGCTAGAACATAGTTGGACATTATACAATGGGCTAGAATATAGTTGGACATTACACAATGGGCTAGAACATAGTTGGGCATTACACAATGGGCTAGAACTTAGACAGTTGGACATTATACAATGGGCTAGAACATAGTTGGACATTACACAATGGGCTAGAACATAGTTGGACATTACACAATGGGCTAGAACATAGTTGGACATTATACAATGGGCTAGAATATAGTTGGACATTACACAATGGGCTAGAACATAGTTGGGCATTACACAATGGGCTAGAGCAGAGACGATTGGACATTACACAATGAGCTAGAGCAGAGACGATTGGACATTACACAATGAGCTAGAGCAGAGACGATTGGACATTACACAATGAGCTAGAGCAGAGACGATTGGACATTACACAATGAGCTAGAGCAGAGACGATTGGACATTACACAATGAGCTAGAGCAGAGACGATTGGACATTACACAATGGGCTGGAATAGAGAGGATTTGATGTGCTGCAGTGCTTTGTTCCTCAGGGGCTTCACACAGACACACACATACACACAAACACACACACATACACACACGCACACACACATATATTTATATATATATATATTTATAAACTTAGATCTAGTGTTTTCCTACCGGCGCAGTTTGCCTCATCATCATTATTGTTGCAATCATCAATGCCATCACAAACGAAACCTTTAGAAACACAACGGCCATTGCTGCACTGGAAGTCACTCTCTGTACATGTCTCTGAAAGGTCGAGCAACATTGACGTTGTGGCAACATTTCTCAAAGTTTACCTTCAAATTTTACTGCGTGTTAACATCGTGCTGTCGGTTGGTTGTGGTATACTGTTATGTTGTCCATGTGGGTGATTCGGATACCCAGGATTTACATTCGAACACCCTGGATTTACCTTCGAATACCCACGATTTACCTTCAAATACCCAAGATTTACCTTCGAATACCTAGCAGTTACATTCGAATACCCAGGATTTAGAATACACAGGATTTACCTTTGAACACCATGGATTCACCTTCGAATATCCAAGATTTACCTTCGAATATCCAGGATTTACCTTCGAATACCCAAGATTTAGAATACCCAGGATTTACATTCGAATACCCACAATTTACCTTCGAACACCCAGGATTTACCTTCGAACACCCAGATTTACCTTCGAATATCCACAATTTACCTTCGAACACCCAGATTTACCTTCGAATACCCACGATTTACCTTCGAATACCCAAGATTTACCTTCGAATACCCACGATTTACCTTCAAATACCCAAGATTTACCTTCGAATACCCAGGATTTGAGCGTGGCTTTAAAAAGAATGTCGTCACTCTCTGGCTGGACAAATTTTTCGAGTGCTTTGTACGGCTCGTGCCTGGCGCTACTCTGTCGGATGGGGTTCAAGTTGCAGATAGTCACACTGGGGAACTCCAACTCCACGGAGGCTTTCAGATCTAGCTTCACCTGTACACATATCTTCAGTTACTTCACGAAAATCATGTTAGCACTGTCAAATAAACCACTGACAGCACACGATCTACAATTCTATGTCACAAAAGATGATCACGAGAAGATGACGTAACGACAATCACAGATGATGACGTTATAAAGTTGATCACGAAAAGATGACGTGACAATGATCATGTGAAGCTGACGTGACAACGACCACTTGAAGCTGACGTGACAACGATCACGTGACGTGACATACCTCCACTGGATAAGAGTAGTACCGCTCCAGTAACCAGTAGCACTGGACGATAGAGTAGGCCAGGAAACCAAGGACCAGAACTGACCAGGCCAGTTTTTTCAGAGCAGACGTCGAGTTGTAGATGAGGACGATGGGGGTAAAACTGGTCTCGGTCAAGAACAGGGACAATTCGTCCCTCACGCTGGTCGTCTGCTGGAAACATTGTGGGATTGTTGCAAACATATAGCTTCAATGTTACAAACATATAGTCTCAATGTTACAAACATATAGTCTCAATGTTACAAACATATGGTCTCAATGTTACAAACATATAGTCTCAATGCTACAAACATATGGTCTCAATGTTACAAATATATAGTCTCATTGTTACAAACATATGGTCTCATTGTTACAAACATATAGTCTCAATGTTACAAACATATAGTCTCAATGTTACAAACATATGGTCTCAATGTTACAAACATATGGTCTCATTGTTACAAATATATGGTCTCAATGTTACAAACATATAGTCTCAATGCTACAAACATATGGTCTCAATGTTACAAACATATGGTCTCAATGTTACAAACATATAGTCTCAATGTTACAAACATATGGACTCATTGTTACAAACATATAGTCTCAATGTTACAAACATATGGTCTCAATGTTACAAACATATGGTCTCATATTGTTATAAAGATATAGTTTAATTGTTACAAACATATGGTGTCAAAGCTAAGAATGTTGGGTTCTCTACCAACAAAGCTAAGAATGTTGGGTTCTCTACCAACAAAGCTAAAATGTTGGGTTCTCTACTAACAAAGCTAAGAATGTTGGGTTCTCTACTAACAAAGCTAAAATGTTTGGTTCTCTACTAACAAAGCTAAAAATGTTGGGTTCTCTAATAACAAAGCTAAGAATGTTTGGTTCTCTACCAACAAAGCTAAGGATGTTGGGTTCTCTACTAACAAAGCTAAGAATGTTGGGTTCTCTACTAACAAAGCTAAAATGTTGGGTTCTCTACTAACAAAGCTAAAAATGTTGGGTTCTCTACTAACAAAGCTAAAATGTTGGGTTCTCTACTAACAAAGCTAAAATGTTGGGTTCTCTACTAACAAAGCTAACAATGTTGGGTTCTCTACTAACAAAGCTAAGGATGTAGGGTTCTCTACTAACAAAGCTAAAGTGTTGGGTTCTCTACTAACAAAGCTAAAAATGTTGGGTTCTCTACTAACAAAGCTAAGAATGTAGGGTTCTCTACTAACAAAGCTAAGAATGTAGGGTTCTCTACTAACAAAGCTAAGAATGTTTGGTTCTCTACTAACAAAGCTAAGAATGTTTGGTTCTCTACTAACAAAGCTAAAAATGTTGGGTTCTCTACTAACAAAGCTAAGGATGTTGGGTTCTCTACTAACAAAGCTAACAATGTTGGGTTCTCTACTAACAAAGCTAAAATGTTTGGTTCTCTACTAACAAAGCTAAGAATGTAGGGTTCTCTACTAACAAAGCTAAGAATGTTTGGTTCTCTACTAACAAAGCTAAGAATGTTTGGTTCTCTACTAACAAAGCTAACAATGTTTGGTTCTCTACCAACAAAGCTAAAAATGTTTGGTTCTCTACTAACAAAGCTAAAATGTTGGGTTCTCTACTAACAAAGCTAAAATGTTGGGTTCTCTGCTAACAAAGCTAAGAATGTTTGGTTCTCTACTAACAAAGCTAACAATGTTTGGTTCTCTACCAACAAAGCTAAAAATGTTGGGTTCTCTACTAACAAAGCTAACAATGTAGGGTTCTCTACTAACAAAGCTAAGAATGTTGGGTTCTCTACCAACAAAGCTAAAATGTTGGGTTCTCTACTAACAAAGCTAACAATGTAGGGTTCTCTACTAACAAAGCTAAGAATGTTTGGTTCTCTACTAACAAAGCTAAGAATGTTTGGTTCTCTACTAACAAAGCTAACAATGTTTGGTTCTCTACCAACAAAGCTAAAAATGTTGGGTTCTCTACTAACAAAGCTAACAATGTAGGGTTCTCTACTAACAAAGCTAAAATGTTTGGTTCTCTACTAACAAAGCTGAGGATGTTGGGTTCTCTACTAACAAAGCTAACAATATAGGGTTCTCTACTAACAAAGCTAACAATGTTGGGTTCTCTACTAACAAAGCTAAGGATGTTGGGTTCTCTACTAACAAAGCTAACAATGTTGGGTTCTCTACTAACAAAGCTAAGAATGTTGGGTTCTCTACCAACAAAGCTCTACGTTGAACTGGCAGTCTGTTATCTCTCAAAAGCTTTTGCCGCCTGCCACTGAATGAACTCCATCCCAGATAAAATGTAAAACAACCATAACTAGGGTCAAACAAACGAGGAAAATGACATAAAAACGTGCGGTTAACTTTATTACATTTATGAACAGCACCCAACCCCATCCCCCCCCCCCACCCCGTTTTGTCGCTGAATCTGGGGTACTATAAATCCACTAGTAATTTCATCTTAACATAACTAAAATCAATATCGACCTATTTAGCCAGGCATGAAATAGTCCAGCAAAAACATTCAGCGGTATTAATATACTGACATGTTAAACAATAGATTTTTAAAAAGCCAGTACAACAAAAACGAACTTGGAAATTATTTGAAAAGTGATGAACGGATTGATAAAAATCAAAAGGAAATCTGTCAACATATATAAATGAAAGTATTTGTATGTTTGTTTATATATTTTTATGCATTACTACACCTTTCATCCGAAAGCCATGAAACTTTGGGAAGTTGATGGCAATAGGGAAAAGAGATTTTATTTCGGAGGGGAGGCGCTCTGGTAGGTGCGATTTGGCGCCCAGAGTACCTCATCGGCAATCTCAGTACCTGCGATTTGGCGCCCAGCGTACCTCATCGGCTATCTCAGTACCTGCGATTTGTCGCCCAGAGTACCTCATCGGCTATCTCAGTACCTGCACCCTGCACGGTGGGTCAAAGGTAACTTGATTTAAGGGTGTAACAGCACCAGACGGGTGGCCCGGGGCAAACCCACGTGATTTATGGCGCCTACGTTCGTCTTAAAGAGTGCAAACACTAGATACGGTGGGCTACTGTAATCGTTGAGTAAATTGAATCAGGCGTGAGTAAATTGAATCAGGCGCGTCTACCGGAGCCCCGACGGTCGGGTAACTAGGAGCACCCTGGGCCTCACTGTGAGCACTATAGCGCCTATATTGTCTTTAAAGAGCACTCTACAAAAGGGACAAGGTGGGCCACTACATTTGATGACTAACCGAAACATGGGACGCATTCCTATGGTAGTGTAACCGGGTGCTACTGAGAGCTCCCATCAGTAGCCGGGCTGTGTTCTAACTCACTATCCAGGAGGTTGATAAACGTGGGTCTAGGCGGTGATGCCAACAAACCTAGCCCCCAACAACTAGTATACAATAAAAATAGCGCCGGCGTTGTTAACATTGAAATTATTTAGTTTTAGAAAACAAGGTCGTGCTTCTAAACATACACGTTGTTAACACAGTGATGAAATCATAAAATGTTAAGTCAGTTTGTATAAAAAGAACAAGTCCTGTGAGTAGAAACAGGTAATTTAAAGATTTGACCAACTCGACAAAATATAAAGATTTGACCAACTCTTCAAAATGTAAAGATTTGACCAACTCGAGAAAATGTAAAGATTTGACCAACTCGAGAAAATGTAAAGATTTGACCAACTCGAGAAAATGTAAAGATTTGACCAACACGACAAAATGTAAAGATTTGTCCAACTCTTCAAAATGTAAAGATTTGACCAACTCCTCAAAATGTAAAGATTTGACCAACTCCTCAAAATGTAAAGATTTGACCAACTCCTCAAAATGTAAAGATTTGACCAACTCGACAAAATGTAAAGATTTGACCAACACCCCAAAATGTAAAGATTTGACCAACTCGACAAAATGTAAAGATTTGACTAACTCGACAAAATGTAAAGATTTGACCAACTAGCCAGAATCTAAAAATTTGACCAACTCTTGAAAATGTAAAGATTTGACCAACTCCTCAAAATGTAAAGATTTGACCAACTCCTCAAAATGTAAAGATTTGACCAACTCGACAAAATGTAAAGATTTGACCAACACCCCAAAATGTAAAGATTTGACCAACTCGACAAAATGTAAAGATTTGACTAACTCGACAAAATGTAAAGATTTGACCAACTCGACAAAATGTAAAGATTTGACCAACTAGCCAGAATCTAAAGATTTGACCAACTCTTGAAAATGTAAAGATTTGACCAACTCTTCAAAATGTAAAGATTTGACCAACTAGCCAGAATCTAAAGATTTGACCAACTCGGAAGAGCATACTACTGGCGAAATTTAAACAAGGCTATACAAGCTAGGATTCGAACGCAAGCCGAAGCTAACTAAATAACTTATTTAACTTAAGTAACCGCGGATATTTTAGACAATTAAAAAAATTCACCTCTTTGAAAGCGTTTATGACTTTCTGTTTTTTTCCCCTGTCCGTGGATCCCAAACGGACTGCTGCCTCCTGCCACATGTTTCCTGTTGGCTGTTTCATGAGTCACCTTCAAGCTGTTGGCTGTTTCGTGAGTCACCTTCAAGCTGCTGGCTGTTTCATGAGTCACCTTCAAGATGTTGGCTGTTTCATGAGTCACCTTCAAGATGTTGGCTGTTTCATGAGTCACCTTCAAGATGTTGGCTGTTTCATGAGTCACCTTCAAGATGTTGGCTGTTTCATGAGTCACCTTCAAGATGTTGGCTGTTTCATGAGTCACCTTCAAGATGTTGGCTGTTTCATGAGTCACCTTCAAGCTGTTGGCTGTTTCATGAGTCACCTTCAAGTATGCTTACAAGAAATTCAGGAAATAACTTTAAGATTCACATTTCGCACAGCTTAATGAATGTGTTTTGTACAAATGTATTCATTAAAAAAGAACCAGCATCACAATAACTGTCGAACCTGCGTAGTTGCTGTGTTTTAATGTTGAACCTGTGTGTGGTTGCTGTGTTTTAATGTTGAACCTGTGTGTGGTTGCTGTGTTTTAAAGTTGAACCTGTGTGTGGTTGCTGTGTTTTAAAGTCAAACCTGTGTGTGGTTGCTGTGTTTTAAAGTCAAACCTGTGTGTGGTTGCTGTGTTTTAAAGTTGAACCTGTGTGTGGTTGCTGTGTTTTAAACTGTCGCTTGGAGTGGTGGCTGTCTGATGTTGTAGACAAGAAGTTTTAGAACAGGAACCTGTACTCTGGCACACAGCGAGGTACGGGGATTTTGTTATCCTGTTCCGGTCAGAGCTCAGGAAATTCTTTTGAAATGGGAGACTGTGAACACATTGACTGATTCAACAATTGGGACCACGAGTTGTATCCCCGGATAGAGTGACTGAAGTTTGAGTTGCGTCCCTGATTAAAGAACGGGTTGCGAGAGGTGGGTTCTGTCTGGTGACAGTAGCGCGAGCACCAGCGGCCTGTGTTGCTTCATCATTAGCATAATTGCTCATTAGCATAATTTTTTAACCTCGTCCCTCAGTTGGTCAACGTGCATTTGTTGATGCCACAATGTCGTTAGTGATTACGTCATGTTCTGCTAAATTCATCTCTTGGTGAAGTCATGTTCTGCTGGTCAGGTCTTGGTGAAGTCATGTTCTGCTAGTCATGTCTTGGTGAAGTCATGTTCTGGTGAAGTAATGCTCTTTTAAAGTCATGTCGTAAATTCATATTGGATTGTTGAACTTCTTCATATAGTTTCCTCGGGCAAAACCTTTCAAGCTGAAGTCAACTTTCATACCTTAACGCCTTCTAATATGTAGGACCTCACACAACTAATGTGTAGGACCTCACACAACTAATGTGTAGGACCTCACACAACTAATGTGTAGGACCTCACACACCTAATGTGTAGGACCTCACACAACTAATGTGTAGGACCTCACACACCTAATTTGTAGGACCTCACACGCCTAATGTGTAGGACTTGATACACTAAATGTGTAAGACCTCACACACCTAATGTATAGGACCTTACACACCTAATGTGTAGGACCTCACAAACCTAATGTGTAGGACCTCACATACCTTCTAATGTGTAGGACCTCACACACTTAATGTGTGGGACCTCACACAATTAATGTGTAGGACCTCACACACCTAATGTGTAGGACCTCACACAATTAATGTGTAGGACCTCACACACCTAATGTGTAGGACCTCACACAATTAATGTGTAGGACCTCACACACCTAATGTGTAGGGACCAACAAACCTAATGTGTAGGACCTCACACACCTAATGTGTAGGACCTCACACACCTAATGTGTAGGACCTCACACACCTAATGTGTAGGACCTCACACACTTAATGTGTGGGACCTCACACAATTAATGTGTAGGACCTCACACACCTAATGTGTAGGACCTCACACACCTAATGTGTAGGACCTCACACACTTAATGTGTGGGACCTCACACAATTAATGTGTAGGACCTCACACACCTAATGTGTAGGACCTCACACACCTTCTAATGTGTAGGACCTCACACACCTAATGTGTAGGACCTCACACACTTAATGTGTGGGACCTCACACAATTAATGTGTAGGACCTCATACACCTAATGTGTAGGACCTCACACAATTAATGTGTAGGACCTCACACACCTACTGTGTAGGACCTCACACAATTAATGTGTAGGACCTCACACACCTACTGTGTTGGACCTCACACAATTAATGTGTAGGAACTCACACACCTACTGTGTAGGACCTCACACAATTAATGTGTAGGACCTCACACACCTAATGTGTAGGACCTCACACAATTAATGTGTAGGACCTCACACAACTTATGTGTGGGACCTCACACAACTAATATGTAGGACCTCACACACCTAATGTGTAGGGACCAACAAACCTAATGTGTAGGACCTCACACACCTAATGTGTAGGACCTCACACAACTAATGTGTAGGACCTCACACACCTAATTTGTAGGACCTCACACGCCTAATGTGTAGGACCTCACACACCTAATATGTAGGACCTCACACACCTAATGTGTAGGACCTCACACACTTAATGTGTGGGACCTCACACAATTAATGTGTAGGACCTCACACACCTAATGTGTAGGACCTCACGCACCTAATGTGTAGGACCTCACACACTTAATGTGTGGGACCTCACACAATTAATGTGTAGGACCTCACACACCTAATGTGTAGGACCTCACACAATTAATGTGTAGGACCTCACACACCTAATGTGTAGGACCTCACACACCTAATGTGTAGGACCTCACACACTTAATGTGTGGGACCTCACACAATTAATGTGTAGGACCTCACACACCTAATGTGTAGGACCTCACACACCTAATGTGTAGGACCTCACACACTTAATGTGTGGGACCTCACACAATTAATGTGTAGGACCTCACACACCTAATGTGTAGGACCTCACACACCTTCTAATGTGTAGGACCTCACACACCTAATGTGTAGGACCTCACACACTTAATGTGTGGGACCTCACACAATTAATGTGTAGGACCTCACACACCTACTGTGTAGGACCTCACACAATTAATGTGTAGGACCTCACACACCTACTGTGTAGGACCTCACACACCTACTGTGTAGGACCTCACACACCTAATGTGAAGGACCTCACACACCTAATGTGTAGGACCTCACACACCTGTGTAGGACCTCACACACCTAATGTGTAGGACCTCACACACTTAATGTGTAGGACCTCACACAATTAATGTGTAGGACCTCACACACCTAATGTGTAAGACCTCACACAATTAATGTGTAGGACCTCACACACCTAATGTGTAGGACCTCACACACCTAATGTGTAGGACCTCACACAATTAATGTGTAGGACCTCACACACCTAATGTGTAGGACCTCACACACCTGTGTAGGACCTCACACACCTAATGTGTAGGACCTCACACACTTAATGTGTGGGACCTCACACAATTAAGATGTAGGACCTCACACACCTAATGTGTAGGACCTCACACACCTAATGTGTAGGACCTCACACACCTAATGTGTATGACCTCACACTAGTAATGTGTAGGACCTCACACACCTGTGTAGGACCTCACACACCTAATGTGTAGGACCTCATACACCTAATGTGTAGGACCTCACACAATTAATGTGTAGGACCTCACACACCTAATGTGTAGGACCTCACACACCTAATGTGTATGACCTCACACTAGTAATGTGTAGGACCTCACACACCTGTGTAGGACCTCACACACCTAATGTGTATGACCTCACACTAGTAATGTGTAGGACCTCACACACCTGTGTAGGACCTCACACACCTAATGTGTAGGACCTCACACACCTAATGTGTAGGACCTCATACACCTAATGTGTAGGACCTCACACAATTAATGTGTAGGACCTCACACACCTAATGTGTAGGACCTCACACACCTAATGTGTATGACCTCACACTAGTAATGTGTAGGACCTCACACACCTGTGTAGGACCTCACACACCTAATGTGTAGGACCTCATACACCTAATGTGTAGGACCTCACACAATTAATGTGTAGGACCTCACACACCTAATGTGTACGACCTTACACACCTAATGTGTAGGACCTCACACAACTAATGTGTAGGACCTGACACACCTTCTAAAGTGTAGGACCTCACACACCTAATGTGTAGGACCTCACACACCTAATGTGTAAGACCTCACACACCTAATGTGTAGGACCTCTCACACCTAATGTGTAGGACCTCACACACCTAATGTTTAGGACCTCACACACCTAATGTGTAGGGACCAACAAACCTAATGTGTAGGACCTCACACACCTAATGTGTAGGACCTCACACACCTAATGTGTAGGACCTCACACACCTAATGTGTAGGACCTCACACACCTAATGTGTAGGACCTCACACACCTAATGTGTAGGACCTCACACACCTAATGTGTAGGACCTCACACACCTAATGTGTAGGACCTCACACACCTAATGTGTAGGACTGACACACCTACTGTGTAGGACCTGATTATCATTATGAGGCACCAGGAATTAGCAATAGAATTCCGGGGTTCTGTGTTTTTTCTGTTTCATTCAGTAGACATAAACGAGGTCACGAGAATCTTGCGGTCATTATTGTTGACATGGAGAAAATTCGTGTTTTTCTCAATTTTGTATTCATAGAGGCCGTAAAAAATCAACTAGATATTTTATTTCAGACATTTCAAATATTTAGAATAAATATTACAAAGTTGCAAATAAAGAGGACTTTAAATTTTTATTTTTTTGTTAAGACTACATTCTTATTTATTTTCATCAAGCCTAATTTACAATCTTTCCTAAGACAAACATTGATTGGCAGTTCATAAATTTCAGTGATCGATTTTCTGAAAACCCTACTTTGCAGTAATTAAATTTATACATGTCCTAGTTTTGCAATGTTTATGTACATTTTCAGTTACAAAATGAGAACAACCGAATTATTTTTTAATTTAATTTTTTAAAATTTTATTTACATACCGAAAATAAACCATCAAATATATCTAATTACAGTCAGGTATTTTAACCAAATTTATTTTTATAACATTATGCATTATTTTAAATATAT